CAAGAAGAAGTAGATCCAGAGGCAGCTGTACCTGGGGAGCCAGGTGAGGAGCTGCTCTGGGAGGGCAGGGCTGGGGTCCTGCGCAGGATGAGGCGGGGTCCACTGGGGTCTGGCAGGAGGACAGCTGTCCACATGTAGCGCCGGTCCATCTGAAGGTAGAAATAAAAACAACAATCAGACCACTGCTCCACGTCATGACGACACACCAGGGAGGGTTACACAATCATCACTCTCTCATCACATACTGAATGAAAAGGAGGACAATGCAATAATACATTGTTCAACAAACGCTGCATAAAGTGAAACACACACGAGAGCATTTTACTGCAATATGAGCAAAAGAAAAAGGAAGCTTGCAAGAAACAGCCATGGCTGTAATGTGCAAACTTTAAAAAACATGTCTTGCCTTTACTTTTGTCAAGGACAATAAATCTGGGGTTTGGGAGGAGGACAGATGTCCACTTGTTTGCTCGGACCAACTGAATGTAATAATCACATCACATCAGGTTAATATACCATGGAGTGTTATATCAGATTGACTACCACATTTTGCATTTAAAAGATCAATATTGCAATGCCAAAACGTGAAAAAACATGCACGAAAACTAAACAAGAGCAAGAGTAAAGAGTGTTTGCAGTATAAAATAACTAAAGTTAACTTTTTGTTCACAAAATGGTATTTCTAATAGGCCTAATAGTTTGTACTGCTCAGTCTGCAGTAGCTTTTTTACAGTGAGGTTTACATAAAGCAGGCCTATATAACTTTTACAGAGGGAAAATTATGCCACAATGTCATCAACAACATATGTATAATTTATATAATGTTTTATCTCTTTTTTTGCAGTTATTTCACTAACTGCCGTATTGATCAAACACGCAGCCAATTAAACATGTTTGTGTTGTGTAAAATACTCGTAAATTACCCTAATATTTGTGAATTTCAAGTATATTCAAATATATATATAATCTATATAATATAATATAATAATGTTTACAATGCTTGAAACACTATGGTATACCGAATACGTAGCACTACAAAGTAAAAAGAAGGCTATGCACATATGTTAGCATGCTAACTTTTTCAACAGGTGAAACGGGTGGTCAGTATTTGATCACAACAGGATTATTTAACTCAAATTTGATGAACTAACACTGAAGATAGAATACATAGGCAATATTGTCAGTTATTTCGGTGATTTTTTTAGGGATTTCGGAGAGCGTCCATGGCAAAATTAATTTGATAACAATGGGTGAAAAAAGTGAATAATTGTATCACATCTAACCCGAAAAACGTCCTGTAAGTTTTGACAGTAGGGTTTAGGGAGAGGTCCGGAAGCAAAAAGTCTCAGGTTTGTGGGGTTTTTTCAGAGAAATTGTCGAGTGAGAGCAGAAATGTTGAGTTTCTGACCGTCAGCAAGTTTGTGTTTTTTCAAACTAAGCGCATAAAGGTGCAGGCTGCATAGCAACCATGGATGGAACCCCCAAGTCTCGCGCAGAGCTCTCGTGAGGCCAGCTCAAACTGTATTGTTTTCACGTTTAATTTAATATAATGGAAATACCTAGCTTGGCAAAACGAAAATAAAACAAAAATAATGCTTAAAACTAGATTTTGAATCATGGACTCCTGATATAAACGAACCTAAAGACGATCTAGATGTGCAAACACAAAGTTTGACAACATTTGAGAAAAATGCAACCTTGCCATTAATAAATGATCCACTTATTGCAAAACACTGTCCTTGACCATGGGAAATAATATATATAAATGCATGAATGAATATCACTAACCTTAATACTTTAGTTTCCATCACAGCATATGGGCCTCCTCCTGTAATACAGTTTCCTCCAATGATGCAATTTGAGAAACACATGGACGATTTTCAGACACAAAATAACACAATTATTTTATTTCGTAAGGTCTGCATTTTGTCTTTTTTCATGCATAAGTAAACTATAAAATTAGATCTACAAGGTTAAAATATGTTTTTTACTTGAAGAAAACAGCGTTAAACACTTCTTTGTATCAAGTGCAGTCTGTTCGAAGGAATAATCTTCATAATATATATTCTCTGCAGGTATTTTTAGTCCTTGACAATTTGACATAGTCCAGACTTTGTATGGAAGTGTATATAACATGATAAATGGCATGGTTTCTTTTCAGGAAGTGAAGGCACTTATTTGTGTGAAATGTCGCCACCCTTTGGCGTCTGTGCGTTACTACTGTTTGTTTTCCTCCATTACAGTTAACAGTTAAAGGGGACCTATCATGCAAAATGCACTTTTGTACGTCTTTTATACATGAATATGTGTCCCCGGTGTTCCAGGGAACTCACCAAGTGTCAGAAAACACAACCCTCTCTATTTTCCTCCATACCCAAATCTCTAAAAAAAGGGGCTGCAACGGATCTGATACAGACTGATCCAGATTTGAACACTTCTATGACGTCACAGAAGTGGCGCTACGGCTATTGGGCCAACTCTCCACCTATCAGGGGAATGTGGGGTTGGGCCACGGCCGGCCATTGCCGCTCGAAAGCGCTGGAGACGCTGTAGTACATATGCCAGGCCTGTAAGTAGCGGAGGTGGGCGTATCTGAAGCTTGGGGATTTTTTGCGAACAACCAATCACATGAATCTCCCGCCCGCGACATACGAAGCAAAAAAGTTTGAAGTAAACTGGATATAAACTCCCCAAACAGGCGAAAACATACCACTGTCTCTGCCACCTCCCTCCATGCCTGGCTCCTCCGGTTTATATCCCGGTAGGTAAATAGGGACTGGTCATAAAGCACCGGGTGATTCCCTACCGCTCATTTCTCCTCCATTTTTTGGAATATGAGGAAATGACCTGCGGTATGTCTCTCCCAGCATACACGCTGTTTGATTGGCTAGAGCTTGAACTGTCAGATTTGCGTACACGGGATTTGATTGGCTGACGCTTCCACCTCAGCCTCAAAAGTTGAACATTGTTCAACTTTGAATCCTGAAAATCCTGAAAATCTCCGCTCGCCTGCCCACAATGCAGTTCGGCGAAAAGTGAGGGAAAGTGACGTCACCCCATTCAAAGTGAATAGAGTGGCGAAGTCCCTCCCACTTACTTCTGGGGTATGGGACCTTATTTCGGAAAAATTATGCATTGAAGTCAATGGGGAGAGAAAACTTATCTTTCGATCCCGTTTGAATTGTGCCATGAATTACACATATGATGTTTGTCAATCTTAAAAAATCATTTCCATGTCAAAAAAGTCACAGTTTGTCTTAAAACTGTTGAAATATAAGACTTTGAAAAATACGAAACTAGAAAGACTACAAATCCCAGAGTCGCGTAAGTGATGTCACAATTGAGACACTACGATACACGTATAATACCGTATATATACGATCAGCGCCATATAGATAGAATCTATCTATATGGCGCTGGCTAAGATAAGATAACTTTGTGCCTGTGTGCTTAGTACCAGGTTGTTATTATACCAGCAATGGGTCTTGCTCGTTCTTTCGCTTCCCGTCTGATGAAAGAGGAGTGTGTGGATCAAGTTAGCTACCTAGCTAGTAGCTAGCACGTTAGTTAGCATTACAGCCTTGTCATTTTTATTAGCCTTAACATGAAGTAACATTAAGTAACCCAAAATGTTAAACAGTAAGAGTAGTAGTCATATTTCGTGAACCCTTTGAATAGTACTGTCACCGGTGTGATCATTCTATAATACACAATTTAAGCCCGGGGGAGAAATGCTAACGCTAACGCTAGCGATCTTCTCTACTTCATGCTATCTGCACAAATGGTTGACATTAAACATTAAAACGACCAGGCAGTTCAGAGAGAATCAAAGGAAGGAAGGCAGGCAGCTTTGCATGACATTCTTCAGGACGTGTTTCATTGTAGTGATAGTGAGGGTAGTCTCTTGTGTTGACAAGACAGTAGTGACGGCCATCTTGGTGACGTGTGTTGTTGACCACAGATCAGATGTAGTTCTTTGAGCGTTTCACACAAACAAATGTGTTACTTCACAGTTTTACGACACATTTTTTTTTTTTTACTTGCAAAATTATCTTTTAAATTGACAAACAACATATGTGTAATTCATGGCACAATTCAAACGGGATCGAAAGATAATCTTTCTCTCTCCATTGACTTCAATACATAATTTTTCCGAAATAAGGTCCCATGGAGGTCCACCGGAAGGGGAGGGACTTCGCCACTCTATGGGCAGAAGCGTTTCAAGATTTTTTTAACGCTGCTGTGTAGACGGTCCGTCAGTGCCTCACCAGCCATGAACCTCACCGCACGTCACTGTTAAATATGTATATGATGTCACCAGACATGGTTGTGTCCAATACGCTGAAGCAATGATATGGATGTGACCTTTTGTCTGGGGATGAAGCAGTCCTGTCTGCAAGCAAAGCTGCAAGGGACACAGGGCCACCACTTGCTAAGATACATTTCACTTTTGTGACCACTTTTGTCAAGGCAATATCATGCAAGTGTGCAGATCTGTGCTCAGTTTTAAAACGATTAACTTATTAATATTATCACAGTACAAATGTGTGCAGCAGACACAACCTCCATTCAAATAGCACTGCTGCAGTCGCTTTACTGATATCACGGTGTAAATACACAGCAGACATGCAGTAAATGATATCCAGCACCAACAGTGCAGGGGGCCATTTTGGCCAAAGGGGGGCGGACTGCTCTTATTCTCACAGATTGAAATAAAGAGGGTCAACAGGTGACTGAGAACAAGCAGTTGGGTCATTTGGCTCGTTTTGCTCAGTCAATGCAACCCTAAACAGATGAGTATTTTTATTATTAGAATATAGTCTTTTATTCTTTAAATAAAAGGTATTTTCCTGGTCCACACTGAATTGTAACTAAATTAATGGTGGCTTTTTTATTTATATATTTTGCAAGGCAAAGCATTTTTTTTGCAATATTTTTCTAATCGTGTTGTGAGGAGTGTGAAAGCCTCCTTTAGTCCCGTACTGTGGAGGCTTGTTTCACAGTCAGTTGAATAATCCGGGTCCGTCTCCTGTTGCGCTGAGTCTGGATATGGAAATGTCGCGCGCAAACGCACGGCGCGTCTCCATGAGCCTTTCCTTAATGTTGTTGGACGGATTTCGGACCGCGTGAACTATGAATGAATATAACCTAAAGATGAATCTCTCCTTGGTGAACTCCTCCTCTTGGAAAGCGGAGTCGCTGGTCATTTCTTTGGGCTTTTCGGTAATTTTCCTGCTCGGCACCGTGGGAAACTCTCTGGTCCTCGCGGTTCTGTTCCGTAACGGGCAGATGAACACCAAAACCACCAACATGTTCATCTTCAACCTCGGGATAGCAGATCTGTGCTTTATTGTTTTCTGCGTGCCCTTTCAGGCCACCATCTACACCCTGGATGAGTGGGTGTTCGGTCCTGTGGTATGTAAGGTGGTGCACTTCATCATTTTCCTCACCATGTACGCGAGCATCTTCACCCTGACAGCTGTTTCCCTGGACAGGTACGTCTGCTACATTTTATAAAAGTATTCCTAGATAATAAAATGGTTCCTAATTACACAACCTGCACATTCAAAGGAAAACATATTATATGTTGGAGGTGCAGTTGGCACGTTACTTTAAATGTTAGGTAACACTTTATTAAATTGTCAGTACATGTAATACCAACAGGGGCGTTTCTGGATTATAGATGGATGGATAATTCCTTACGTGTTACAGCAGTTTGTTCACTTAAGACATAAATACTAAAGTATGTAAGTAAGGTACAAATAATAAGCAAAATAATGAACAATGAAAGATTGAGATGGAATTAAACGAAAACTCCGAAAAAAAAGTGCCACAACCATTAAGGCTTTGCTTTTTGACAACAAAGCCTTAACAATACAAAAAATACATACTGTTTATTTGCAAATTATAAAAAAATAATATTGCAAACACAATCCAAATTATTGAAAGCAAAATCAAATCAATTTGAAAGGACAAGATATGGACATAGATAATTACTTTAATATCAGGTTTATTAAATGTAAAATGTTTATGACATCAACGCACTTTTAAATCATATGTTGTATACGCAAAATTAGACTCAGTCAATATGTATGGGTTTGTTTTCTTTTATTGGGCTTCATGGTATTTTAACAAGTACCATCCTCGACATGTACAATACATAGGCTAGGTGAAGATTATTGATTTGTTTAGTTGTATAGAAATCAACTTGAGAATCACCTTTAGTAACTGAAAACAAATTGTCCATGCAGAGTATCACCTTAATCAAACCACAAACTACTAATGATTCACAGTAACGAACATCTGGATCTCTTGCAGGTATTTAGCTATTTGCTACCCGCTCCGCTCTAGAGGGATGAGAACCCCCAAGAACGCGGTCATCTCCATCTGCCTGGTCTGGGCCTTGGCGCTGGTTTTCTCTGGCCCATATCTCAGCTACTACTCACAGATGGACCTGGCTGGCACTGTGGTGTGTATTCCTGACTGGGAGTCCAAGCCACGCATCATCATGGACGTGTGCACCTTCGTCTTCGGCTACCTCATCCCCGTCCTGGTGCTCGGCCTCACTTACGCCCGCACCATCCGGTACCTGTGGACCAGCGTGGACCCCGTGAAGGACATGTCCGAGTCGAGGCGGGCCAAACGTAAAGTCACCAAGATGATCATCGTGGTGGCGGCTCTCTTCTGCCTCTGCTGGCTGCCCCATCACGTGGTCATCCTCTGCATGTGGTTCGGAAGCTTCCCGCTCAACCACACCACCTACGTCCTGCGCATCCTGTCCCACCTGGTGGCCTACACCAACTCCTGCCTCAACCCCATCGTCTATGCGCTCATCTCCAAGCACTTTCGCAAAGGTTTCAGGAAGGTGTTCAGCTGCTCCCTGAGGAGGAAGGAGGTCAACAAGGTGCACGTGGTTCAGGCGGTGAACACGGTCAGCAGCATGGAGACGTCCAACTGAACACAAACACATTGAACCTGACAAGATGGAGGACAGGATGAGCCAACTGAAAATTATGAACATACTCAAAAACGTGCTTTAGATGAAACTATGTCCCAAAAGTATTACATTCACTGAACTAAAAGCATCAAGCCTGTGGAGCAGACTTGTCTTTAAGGAAAGACCCTAATGACACAACTGTTACAAATGAGAATACCTTAGACCTCAGAAAAGCTGAAGAGGCTTCCTGCACTGAATTATTGACCGGTAATTACAGAGAAACTGATGAATGGAGAAGGGATGTCAATGATTAAACACTACGTGACGATTAACACAAGTGTTTTTGACCAGTGACGCATGTAGGTCTAGAGGTTCATTTACAGTCTAATTGGGCTGTTCAGAGAGGATGAGCTTCTCCAATGAACCCAGTGAGTGTGCGTCCAGCTGTGTTCGCTCTCAAAGCTAATTATATAGCAGGCGAGAAAGCAAGCAAATGATTGTTGAAAACATTTCCATTCAGAATCTATGTCTCATTTGATTGGACTTTAAAGAGACAAGAAAATCCTAGCGCCCGAAAACAGTCAATATGTGATCGATCATCGCATGCTTCACAATGACCAAGATCATTACCAACAAATGAACATTTTGGCACAGCCTTTTTGGCACTGCCAAAGCTCATCAAGTCAACAAAGTGCCATACCTAAACACTTTTTGTACTTCACTACATTTTGTGTTTTATTTCTTTAAAATGTACTGGGTGGCTACCAGTCAATGGATGTTGGGCTAACACAAGCAACATTCCTCTATATTGACCTCCCTAGAATGTATGAAAACCTTTACCTTTGAGGAAAATAAATAATACTGTATTTGAAACAAAGAAAGGAGGGTGAGGCTAATGTTTTAACCATGTTTTGGTATATAAATGGATGGCAAAATACGTTTTTCAGAATCAGCTCAGACCATGACACAAATTGATTGATCAAGAAATTGCTAGGCCTTCACTTTTTTTTCTGTGACCCAGAGACATTTCAGGAGCATGGATCTAGAGTGGGTTTGCCACTTTGATCCAGACTGAAATATCACAACAACTGGGTTGCGATAGAAATTGGTAGATACATTCATTATCCATCCGGCTTCTACCGCTTATTCGAGTCGGGTCGCAGCGGTAGCAGTTCTAGTAGTATATGCATTATCCAAAGAGGAAAGAGCATGTATGTTGTTGTCTTCCCCTTAATTATCCTCTAGTAGGAGGGGGGGTTGACATTTTTCATTTTGGTTCAATGTAAGAGTAGTTATCGCCTAAAGTGACATTGACATTGGCACAGATAATCATGGTTCCCAGAGGATAACTTGCTATGGTTCTTCTGAGTTTGCCACTACATTACATTACATTACATGTTACTTGTTAGACGCTTTTATCCAAAGCGACTTACATACTCAATACTGTGGGCAATCACCACAGGAGCAATTTGGGGTGAAGTGTCTTGCCCAGGGACATAACGACATGCTGACTGCAGTGGGGTTTGAACATGCAGGATCCGAACACCAACGCTCTAGTCTACTGCGCCACAGCCTCCCTATTTATTCCAAATGCCTGAAGGACTTATGGCATTCCCATCCGCCTCAGCTGTATTTCTGTTTAGTGCTGATCAGCTAAGTTGCTAACACACTAAACTAAGACAGTGCACATGTTAAACCTTTCAAAGTTCAATATTTTAGACCTTGTGAGCATCTTGGCTTGCTCACATTAGCATTTAGCTAACATAATCATGTCTGAAAGAGCTGCTAGCATTGCTGTAGACTTTCTGAAGCACATCAAGAACAAATTGTAGCAAAACCCAAGTGATTACTTATTTAGATCCATTTTAAAGGTATTATTCAATAGGACAATAAGAGAGTATGACCTTCATTCATGTCTAATCAATATTCTTTGTGTCAGAAACTAGCATACTGTAGGCCTTAACTGCAACAACATGTCTAAACACAACGAAGCAAGGTGTAAATGATTCATCTAATACTATGAACCTGACTTATGCTTGGCCAAATGATGAAGTACCTTTCCTGGAAATCACATAACTTAAAAGGTAAGACCCGCCAGACAGAGCCATGTTAGTAATTTACTTGAAATGAAATGAGCTGAGTAAGGGATATTACCACTATCATATTCTGTGACTTGAAGTACTTAACAGAAAACAAATCAAGTTGTAAAGATGTTTTTTAAAGACAATGCCAGATAAAATATGAATGACTTAAATGAAGGATTTAATACTCAACTAAATACAAAGCTAGAATGTAAATATAAAGAGCTACCTTGCCTGATCAGGGTCACCCAAAATAATAAGAACTTTCAAAAGGAGTGAGTCACTACAGTTAAGGGTTGAAACGCTCAAAGGAGTCCTGCATCGTGAGGGTCAGTGGTACAAAATGTGTCTGGAAGTTGACTGAGAAGCTGTGTGTGAGAGTTGCTCTGAAACAAGCTGAAGTCAGATAGATTTTCAACTCCAGATCTGAACATTTATCTGTTGTGTAATTCAGCATTTTGTACAGAAACTTCTACGAGCCCAAATGTTCTGCGTGATTTTTACTTGCTGCATGATAATTTGTCGTCATTGGAAACCTCAGTGTTGTATGTTGATTATATATGGCTGTGAATATATGATAACATAAAGAATATGCCTTGGTGTTATATACAGTTAACAAGTTTCTTTGTGTGTTTTCTGGCAGTTTTATTGTGACAGTCGTTGAAATAATAAAACCATACATTTGTGTCTCCATTTCCATAGCTCATTAACTTCAATTCTGACATGTGTTTTAGCTCCAAGAGCTGATCCTTTTGAGATATCCTTCTGAGATGTCACACATGACGAGTGGTTCCTGTTACTTGTCATCGCATAATGAGCTGTGCTGCTGAATATGTACACTTATACGGGTATTGATCGTTTCTCAGATGTACAACTCACGAGTTTATGAAGGAAGATGACAGTTTCTGTTTCATGAGGTACAACAAAGATTCCTGAGCTTAGGCGATCGTTTTTAGTTGTTTAATATTTATAAATGTTTTAAAAACTTTGAGCTAAAATGGGAATTCATCCACAGTAAAAAAGTAAAGTAAAAATAATTCCTCCTGACTCTACTGACTCTAAAATGACCCAAAAACATGCGGCAATGTTGTTTGGCCCATTTGCCTGAAGTAAATGTTGTCTTTTTGCTTTGTCAGAGAGTACCAGAATGCGTAGTTTACATCCCCCCCAGACCCCCCTGCAGGGATTCGGTTTGCAAAAATCGTTTCCACAACATGTGAGTGAGCGTCGCTGTCGAGAACAGGTGTGTTCAAGACTCTTAAATCATTGGCTTCCTCAATAATTCCCCCCTTTTTGGGAGGATGTTGGGATAACACTGTGGTATCGCTCATGCAACAACTTTTTACTGACATACTAAACCCAGCAGTGTTATGGCACCCTATGCTATGACTTTTGTGTGACTATGTGTTATATGATGACCTTTTATCATTACTTTTTAATGACATACTATTATTGTTATATACTTGTGAAATTCATCTCTATGACTTTTTTGCCTGACATACTCTACAAAAACTCCTTGATGGCATTCTCTACCGTGACGTTTTTAAGACATGCTATACAGACAGACAGACTATATCAGGCCCCTTTAAGGCATGCTCTGACCTCTTTGTGATATACTATGACGTTTTTTGGATTAATTATGCTATGGATTCCTTGTTATACTATACTTTAACAGAGTATAGTATATTCTATACTTTACTATGAATTTTTCTATACTTGTAAAAATGAAATACTATTTAATGACATACAAACTATGACTTCTATGTGTTTTTAGTGGAATATTCCATCATTCTTTTCTCTCTGTTTCCATTTTCTCTCATGGCTCACGCATGTAGCCTTTGGAGTTGCTTTTATCTCTTTCACATAGCTGTCTCTTTCTATTTCAAATGTTGGCCAGCACAAGCTTACACAAGATGGTGGATTGTCCAGGGACACCTGGAAGTCCAGTATATCAGATGTAGTTCCTCTGGCAGACAACCTTAAATTATGGACAAAAGTCTTAATATTAAGAATGTTAATTTATTCTTTCTGAACTAGTTAAAATCTCTGACTAAGGGAAAGATTCTTCAGAATTGGTTTGGGGAACCGCTGTGTCACCCTGTGGCTGCAGCAAATGTCTTTGTCAGTTCTCCGGCCGTAACTTAGAATAATCCTTCAGCTGTTTGCCGTCAGTTCCAGCTCTCCCGTGTTTCGTTGTGTTTCGACTCCATTGTTTCAGACGTTTCCCATTACATTGTGTATGACATATCAAACTAATACCTTTTAGTGACATGACATTATTATGGCATTCTATACATGTGGTTTAATATTATTATAAAGCAAACTATACTACAAATGTTTTATGACTTTTTTAAATAACATATAAACTAGAATGCTGAAATCATTGACTATAACTTTTTGATGCCATTTTTATGACGTGCTGTAGTTTATATAATGCTAATGACTGACTATATAATGAAATCTTTAATGACTTTTTATGACAACATTCAACAACACGCATGGTCATGAACATGAACTAATATTTTGTAACTTAAATCTTTAAAATGAATAAAACAAAAAAACAATTTCAATAGGAGTCATAATGATACTTGAAGGCATAACCAACTGTTTTCTTCATTCCCCATCTAAGATTACCTTCAGTCAGCAACACGCTCATTTTCACCCCAACAACCTCAAACCTTGTAACATGGAGAAGGGAAGAATGGATATTGGACACTTTTGTTATCACCATGGAAACCTGAACCTCATGAAGGTCTGGTTGTCTTGGTGATCCCAAGTGCTGTCTTTGACTCTCCAGCAGCACACTTCACCTGTCAGAGGTATAGAGACGCAGCCTGCCGTCCTTCAGACAGCACTCCAGTTTTACATCTTTTACTCAGAGATGTTGTTGACAGGAAAAGTGAAATGTACCATCAACAAAAAGTGAGATCTATTGATACTTTTCTTGGTCTTTTCACAATTATTTTTCCGTTTTTTAGGATTTTTTTGACACACTATACTATTGTTTTCTTCAATATTATTCACATACAATACCGAGTGCTTTATTTTCTAAACATATTGAACTATGTCGTTTTTATCTGATATTATTGATATAACATACTATGATTTATTATTCAATGTACTATACTTTTAACTTCTTACATTCTAACTAAGGGATTTTTTAAATATATATTACTAAATGCTATTCTATGACTTTTTCAGATTTATTTAACATACTAAACCATGACTTTTTTTTGGTATAAACTATACTATAACTTAACCTCTTCCTTTTTGTGCGATCAACGTCTGTAAATATCTCAGCAGCTATAACACTGCAGCAGTCGTTCCCATGGAAACACACAAGCAGGATCTACCACTCTAACAGCAGGCTGTAAACTCCCCACACATGCATTTGGATTATTTGGGCTCATTAAGTGTTTTTGTCACCAACACAAAGGTCCCAATCCGGTGAAGACATCCCAAGTGTTCCTCCTACAGGATGTTCATCGGGAGGCTCTAATGATGTGATTCTGAACAGAGGTACAGAACATCTATGTCAACGTTGAGTTCAAACTGAAATAAAAAGGGAAGTTGTATAGAAGTTGCATAACAAGCTGCGTCTGGCACTCATTCATGTCAGGGATGCAGTCTAATTACATGCCTTGTGTAACTGTCAACAACAAAACCAACAACGACCCCGCTGCTTCAGAGTCCCTTTATTTATTTTGAAATGCTGATCTGGAACGGCTAAATTACATACATACATCAGGTTCATATCTTTGTACAAAACATCCATCAGACACAGGCAGGGTGAGTGCCAGGTGAGGGTTATGAAGTGTCTGGAGGGGGGGTGGGGGGAACATGAGTCGGGGGGGGTTTAAAGTGCAGCTCAGGCGGACGTGTCGAACAGCCTCCCGATCATCTCCTCCACTTCCTCCGGACGGTACTTGTGATACTTCTCGGGGTTCTTAGTGAAGGAGACGTTGGCGCACCTAGAGAGGAGAAAGGGTTCAGAGTGAAGGGTTCTGATTGGCTGGTAGATGTAGTGCCACATAAGAGTGATTTCTACATCCATCAAGTCTGATTTTGTTAAGTCATTCTTCAGTAATGTGTGAATGAAATTGATCACATGTAATTAACAGGATAGAGACACGCTTGGGAAATAATGGAAAACATGTAACAGGATTACATAATCAGGATGGAAAAAAAGGTGCCTGTATTCCCTTATAAACATAACACAACAAATAAGGAAGTTTGTGTTTGGTAGATTATTTCTTTGTTGTAACATGCTGGCATCACAGGCTCTGCCCTTGCATGGTTCAGGTCCTACCTGACAGACCGTAGCTTCTCAGTGCAGCTAGGTGCCTTCTCCTCTGCAAAAGCCCCTCTTACCTGTGGGGTTCCCCAAGGCTCGATTCTGGGCCCCATCCTTTTTCTACTGTACATACTGCCCCTAGGTTCAATACTCACAAAACATAACATTCCCTTCCACTGCTACGCCGACGATGTACAGATATATCTGCCTCTCAAAGCAAATGTCACACACTCACTACAGCAGCTGATGGACTGCTTAGCAGAGATAAAATCCTGGCTGAGCAAAAACTTCCTCAACCTCAACGAGAGCAAGACCGAGGTCATCTTTTTTGGACCCCAACCTCCAGCCTCTCCGGTTGATATTCTGGGCTCTATCAAAAAAAACATCCTCCCCTCGGTCATGAACCTTGGAGTGACCTTCACTAGCACTTTTAAATTCGACAAGCAGATCAGCACCGTAGTAAAATCCTGCTTTTTTCAAATAAGACTATTGGCCAAAACCAAGTCGTATTTATCTTTTAAAGACTTAGAAAGGGTTATCAACGCCTTTGTAACCTCGAGACTGGACTATTGCAACGCTCTGTATGTGGGTATGGACCAGGCCTCAATCAAACGCTTACAGCTAGTCCAAAACGCGGCTGCACGTTTGTTGACTGGTCACAAAAAGCGCGACCACATCACCCCTATTCTGGCCTCACTACACTGGCTTCCAGTTCGGTTCAGAATTGATTTTAAAATCCTTTTATTTGTTTTTAAAGCACTAAATGGGCTGGCTCCGGCCTATATAGCTGAACTGCTCCAGCGCTACACCCCAGCCAGAGCTTTAAGGTCTGCTGACCAGCTGCTGCTGGTAGTGCCCAAGACCAGGCTTAAAACCAGAGGGCACCGAGCCTTCGCAGCAGCTGGCCCTAAGCTCTGGAACACTTTGCCCCTCCATGTGAGGTCGGCCCAGACCCTTGGGGTTTTTAAATCTAAACTAAAAACACACTTCTTCTCTCTGGCTTTCTAGTTAGAGCGGAGCATGACTCCTGACTCCGTGTGTTTTATTCTTATTTTGTTTTGTAAGATATATCTGTTGTAATTTATTGTCGTTTATTGTGTTTTGTAGTAATGTGTTTTTATTACATGTACAGCACTTTGGCTCGACCAAAAATCGCTTTTAAATGTGCTTTATAAATAAAACCTGATTTTGATTTGATTTGATTTCTTGGCATACATCTTATGTCGTTGGAAAGCCTGTTTATTTCCCTTTCAAATGGTGCCACATTTGTGAGGAACATGCATTTTCAAATTGCCAAAATGTCTTGTTTCATCAGACTTCAATCATCCAATCCACCAAACAACACCAAACAAGAGTCAGCAGCAAAACAAAGCTGCTGAAGCTCACATGGGCGCAACCCACATACTCCGCTCTGCTGCCCATCCCACAAATGCATGTTCCTCACTAATGTGGCACCATTGAAATAAACAGGCTTTCCAACATTTATTGCCAAGAAGCTCTGTCAAATAAATAATCTACCAAACCCACATTTCCTTACTTTTTGTGCTATGTTTAGTTTCATAAAAAAAATACCTTATCAGATTACTGTTACCTTAAAAAAAAATGGGGGGATTACTGGTATCCCATGGTAGCATCTACAAGTCTTTCAGCACATGCACATTGTTACAGTGTTACAATCACAGCATTTTTGGGACTGGCTACAGCCACAACAATTGATTTGTTCAAATATTTAAATAGTTAGTAAGGATAACAAAAATAAATGGTTTCCTGACTAGTAGTTTTTGAAACAATTACTCCTTTAATCCTATTGGAGCCGGTGGTTAGTCTGACTCTTGGAAGCCTCTTTTTAAATCGTTGTGGAGACTTCACACTCAACGTACTGTACATAAACATCTCGAAGGTAATATCATCTCTCAGGAATATGAATTAGTTGAAACTAAACAGCTGACATTAGGACTGGTCCCCCCCCCCCCCACCTGTGCAGGAAGGCCCTGTAGGTGTCCGACACCACCCTCCTCTGGGCCTGGCGGATGAAGTCTCTCTGCTCTTTGTCTGGGATGGCCCAGCCCTTCTGGATCTTACACAGCTCCTCCAGCCCGTCATTAAAGCCCTGAGGGGGGGGAGGGGGGAGAGAGAGAGAGGTCAAGTCTGTTTGTTCTTCACATCCATGCTACCAAAGACACTGTGGGATGAAGATATTTGACAACGTGGTGCCAGCGTCGTTCTGACCTCACCTTGAATTTGTCTTTTATCACCTGCCGCTCCTTGTCCTTCAGCTGGAGGAAGACAACATCAGTTACAACATTCTGCCAAGACACTGCAAATGACTCATAGTGAACACTTTGTATAGACAGAGTGTAGATATGTTTAGGACATTAAAGGGATGGTTTGAAGTGGGGTTTTATGGAGTACTTGCACATCTCTCCAAGTCTTTGGAAAGGGAGTCGTATCAGTTGCTTTCCCTGAGGTTCCTTGGATTTGTTCACCTTGTTTAATGGGCTACTTTGGGAGGAGTCTTTCTTTATTTGCTGCAAAAGTCTAAGGTCACATACAGTACAATTTGTAAAGCCCCTTTAGGCCTTTTTGTCATTTATGATATTGGGCTAGAATTAGATCATTTATAGACTGGAGATTGCAGTCAGCAGGTCCCAAGTTTGGAGATACCATGGAAACCAAGCGATGTACTGCTTTGGACTGGAGCAGCAGCAAAACATATTTATATCAACCCAACAAAAAAAATCAGTGTAAGTGTATTTGCACTCTTTAAAAAAAAAACTAGACTCTATTGAAAAAACTGTAATCTTACCCAACAGAAGATGGGACTTGCTGGTCTGTTTGTGTAATTGTTTGAGCTGGTAAATCTGAAAAAAGGAAAGAGGCAGCGAAACCCCAGCGTGTTCTGCAAGGTAACATTGTTGTCTTTTTCAATGCAGTCTGGTAGCTGTACTGATCACACAGATAACAGTTTTAGCTCCTCACTAGAAACATAGACTGTGTAAATGTTTTACCACAAGGTAAAGTGGTGAAAATATTCAAAATATAGATAGAAGTAGATATAATAATTGTTGCAGCTAAGACTGTACACAGCAGTACATGCCGTCTTCTCTAGGTAAGTACCTCACACATCCCCATTTAAAACATGTTGTGCTATCCTAATGTATTTATATGTGTTTCTACAGTGAGCACATGTTGGTACTGAGTGCTGTGGTGATGGACCTGTAGGAGACACACTCTGTTCAGCTGGCCCACTACCACCTGATCTTCAGTGGTCAAAATTATACAGGCGTGTTAAAGTCGACACTCCTGTTCCAAAGCTGGTGCTTTTCTCAGAGATGATAAAGTTCTGACCTTGGTGCCGGGCTGGAAGACGGGCATGTTCCTGTCCGTCAGGTGCTCCGTGACCTTCAGCCAGCTGAGACAGGGTCACATACAGCAGTCAGAATGAGTGGGTTAAAGACATAAGAAATGATAACTCTGTTTAGAGCTGTACCTAATGTTTTTAACCTTAATATTGACTTTCAAATACTACAAATGTGTCTTTTTTTTTTGCACATTTATTCATTCTATTTAAACTGTGCATTTGCAAAGTTTCAGATAAAGATTTGGCACTACTAGACTATGATTCTATTATTATAAGCCATTCGTAGAAATAGAGGCAAATGCGTAGGATTTGTTTTAACTTGTTTGTGTGATGCAAACATTTCCAATATATCATAATACTGTACATTAAAACTGTAATGCAAATCATAAATGCGGTCGTTTCTAACATTCACAATACATTACATACAACAAAAATGAGTTTTATTTTATATATTGTTTAGGGTGGTGGCATTATAAAATATAACGACTGACCATTGAAGCTTAATTTGAAAACTTTAAAAAAATGTTTGCAGTTAAAAGAATACAATGTGGTGCTGCCCCTCTGTATTCCAGATGTTTACCTGCGCTGGTACATCTGGATCTGCTGCTCGATCAGCTCTCTGTAGGAACCCTCAGCTTTCTTCTGAGTCACCGTCACCAGCTGGATCAACTCTGACCTGAACCGATCACACACACGACACATTAAACGTTTAAATACAGATAACAGATCTCTTACTCTGACTATCATTCCTGTGGTTTGAACAGGATGTTTTAGACCACATCGAATCCATCACCACTTACTGCACGGCTTAGAAGGTTAGCAAACCATGCTGCTGCCTTTTTAAAGAATAGTTGTCATTTCTTTGAGCTTCATGCAGCCGTTGCTTTTCATTTATTTCTGCAGCGTATGGAAATCAATAATGAAACTTGTTCTTAATTCATCAGTGTGAGCCGAAGGGTCTGCAGTTAAATAACTCTTGTTCAACTCTGACAACATGAATGCAGATGTTCACTGTGATTACACACGCCTGTTTAAGAAGTCTGCTCATAGATCCTCATTACATACAGAGATGAATGGAAAACAATGCCATTTATCACTCTTTTATAGTACCAATTCATTTGTATTAATGATATTTCTAAAGATGGTATCTTCTACTCGTCTGTCATTACACTTCATCAACACTCACTGTATGTGTAACCCCCCTCCTTTATCCTTTACCCTCAGTGTTCGAACATCTTAATGAGGAATAGTTGTTGTGCAGATGGTTTCTAAATGCGCTCATGATTTATTTCGCTACATTCTCATGAATGCCAAAATTAACATAAGTATTCAAGATGTGCATATTGAATTAGCGCACAAGGTAAATGAGTAACATCTGATATGATATGATTACAATCAGCAAGTTTAATATTTTCCTCTAGGTCTGCAACTAGCAAACCTTTTTTTTGTAGTAACCGTTTTATTTATCAAAAGTTCAAAAACAGATTAAACTGGTCATCATGTCTTTGACAACAGGACAATAATGTTGTCAAAGCTGGTGTTTTTGCTTAAAATGTAGTCCATTATTAACATATATTAAGATGGTCGCTAATTTAAATTTCAGTTTGTTAATGTGGTTGTTTTTTCTTTCTCCTCTACCGTCATGCATTTGAAAATGATTGGCAGAAATATTTAAATTTGAATAAATGTTTAAAGGTAGGGTAGGTAATTTTGGAGAAACCAGCTCGAGATCGCTAGAATTTGAAAATACACAGCCGGAAAAAATCTGCCACTTCCTTACAGAGCCCCTCCAACACACACGAACGCGCACATGACCAATGAGGGCACGAGATAAGTTTGTGCACAGATGGAAGGCTGACAGGCAGGTAGGCCATCCAGTTATTTTAGCCGGGCCGGCTCAGGGGCCTCATTTATAAAGGGATATACGCTCAAAAAATGGCGTACGCCAGTTTCTACGCAATGTTTGCGATTTATAAAATACTAACTTGACGGGAAAATGTGCTGTCCTCCACGCAAACTCTAACCCATGCGTACGCACTAAGCATAACAACGGGAGAGACGAGAAACTGCGACACCGTTGGCAGAAGGAAGAATGGAGAGAAATATGTGGAAATAAATCAAATGTTACCTCTCATTTATCATATGAAGAATTCATTTTCAAACATTGATTAAAGCCAATCTTAAAATGATTAAACAAACGCCTGTTTGAGACTCCTCAGTGCACACAAAAACATAACTTGGAGAAATAAATAAATACGGATATGTTATTTAAAACCACCTCGAATATGTTGTGTTAATGTTATGAAATGTTTTCTCATAAATGATGCGGTAAGCAGGAGGACAGAATAACGTCTAAACTGACGCCGTTTTGCATTTCTATAGGTTGTAGATACGAGCATGGTTTTATATCCTATCACGTTTAATCGTGTTTTATGCCGTTTGCCAAGACTTGATAAGTCGCTCGTAAAACACAGGAGGTATTGAAACTAAGAACACCATATGTGGTAAATTGTACAGCTAATATAACACAACACATTGTATTTCCTTTAACTGGTGGATTATGGATATATAGTTGCTGATCGACAGCTGGAACACAAACCACCAAATACAACAAAATAATTCAGATCCAGTCGTCATGACTCCACTCCGGAGGGATTCCCCGATCATTTCTTACAGTTTCTCATCAAGGGGGTGTCTCCTGTCCCCGGGACAAACACACTGCCTGAGGAAGGTTATGTGTATTTGTTTTGTCATTAACTTTTTTCGGACCACTTATTTATTTATTTTGGTGACGATCCGACCTCCATGCTGCTACTCTGGTTCAAACTGCATCCACCAAACAATATGATTTATCTCGACCTCCCCAAAATAACCAAAATCTGACACGGTGTGAGATGTCTTTTTTAGCTGTTCTGTCGTCATTTCCTAAGATCTTCTTCATGCAGTCAGTCAACATGAATGAATGAATGGGCGTTTCTTTGACTATGTATAGGCAAATATGGGCATTACGAGTCGATTGTGATTTATAAAGGGAAACAGGCGTAGGGAGTGCCGTACGCACTTCCCTCGCCGGTACGCAATGTTTTGTGAATCGGAAAATGGCGGAAAATGTATGTACCTATTTTTGTGCTTTGTACTACGTAAGCAACCTTCCTACGTCAATCCTACGCAAGGCGTTATAAATGAGGCCCCAGATGATTGGTCGTGCTCTTCACAGTGCTACGGCTTCCACAGATGACATTTTTTTATGTATTTATTGTCAAAGCATTTAATATATTCATTGCTATCGGGATGTTAAGAGCATTCCATGGAATATAACAAAAAGTGTTTCTGAAATAAATGACCTACCCCACCTTTAAGGTTTAGTCGCTAAACAGTGATGTAGCCCATTCAAGATAGTCCTGAAGAATATACGTTACTGTACACTGAATTATTAATATCTCCGTCTCCATTTTGTATTTCATGTCTTTATAATGGAACCAGTTCATCAGAATGGCGATTGCAGTTCATCTACACCAGGGGTGCACAATACGTCGATCGCAAAGGTAGTGTGGGTAGATCGCATGGCATTGAAAAAAAAAGAAAGTTAGCCTTTCATCTATCCTTACTATGGCATTTGCCACTTGATTGACGTACAGGTAAGCCAGTCTGTGATCTCATCTTTTCGCATGCGCAGTTCACCACGCATGCACGGTCAACCGCGCCAGCTGCAAATCACCGGCGAGCTGATTACCTAGTTAGCCTTCCAATTTATACAATTCTACTAAAGAAAGGGTATAAAATTGACGTAATGACCAAAGATGTACTGACTTGTATTGTGCCATACGGGTTCATGCATTTATGCAAGGTACACCAACATCAGGTATACTCAGTATATAGATAAATAAATATATGTTTAGCATTTTTAATGTAGGTAGATCATTTTGACTTGGTCATTTTAAAAGTAGCTCCCAAGCTGAAAAGCGTGGGCACCCCTGATCTACACAGATATATATATAAAATAAAAAGAAGGAAGCATACTTCTCCAGAGACTTGAGGGTGTAGTTGTAGTTGTTGTGCAGGAAGATGGCGCTCAGAGCCGAGTCCTCGTACACTTTGGATTTACTGAGCAGGTTCAGCTGCAGGTTCCCCAGTACCTTACCTGAGGAGGAAGACTCGCATCACTTTCCAAAACTAAAGCTGGAGATTTCACAGCAGAGAGGAGGGGGGGTGTTTTGTACTCACAGATATAAGTGCTGAGGAGCCTCTTGTTGAACTCCGAGGTGTAGCTGACGGCTGAAGAGCTCGTCTCTGGAGATAAATACAGACGCTGTTAGCATCTGCTTCAGATAAACTCAATGACCCACAATGTACTACTTAATTGGATCTATCAGTACGTATTTCATGTTCTATTTAGATAGAAAATCTCCACTCAAACGAAAAGTATTCACAACAGTCAAAGCACTCATGTTCCCATGGTAGCATCTACACGTCTTTCAGCACATGCACATCAGATGAGGGGCTAATATGGAAGAATTATCTGCAATTATGGTAAAATAGCATCAAAATAAAACACTGTAACTCCTCACCGGGGGCCTACACGTGGCCTTTTGCTTACCTCGGGGGTCTAAAGGTATATTGTAAGTGTCCCCCAGTACTATTAGGGCCGAGGCAAGGCAGAAGAGAGAAGAGAAAGAGGCACAAGTGCAAAAGGGTTAGAAGAGATTTGTTAGTGCAGAGTAAGTCATCAGCCATGCATTGAGGGTGGAGGGTCCGAAAAGAAGGCAAAGCAAAGCTGAAAACAACAGGAGGGAGCCACAGAGCATCACAGAGGGGTTAGGGCTGCACAATTTAACAGAACTAAATATCAAAAATCAAAGTAAGCGCAGTATTTGGTAAAGGCAAAATAAGTGATAAAGATCATTCTGAGTTAACCCCGGCCTACAAACGGTACAGACTTAAAGGGGTCCTCTTATGCTCATTTTCAGGTTCATATGTACTCTGTGTCTCTCCTGGGACATGCTCCTGTCTCCATGCTTTAATGTTCAAAAAGCTCTTTATTTCTCTCGTACTGTCTGTGCTGCAGCACCTCTTTTCACCCTCTGTCTGGAACCAGAGCCCAGTCTGCTCTGATTGGTTAGCTGGCCGGCTCTGTTGTGATTGGTCAACTGCTTAGAGATGTGACTGAAATGTTCCAGCCCTTAGCCTATAATATACAATGTGTTGGAGCGCTAGCCACTAGAAGTAATGAGTGTTACATAGTGATGTCACCATGTTATGGAAGTAAACAATGGAGGCGTTTCAGGCAGAAACCCAAAAAGCATAATAGGGTCACACTAGGATCATTTACATTGTTCAACTGTTATGTGATTAATGTTTAAAAAATGTACTCTTAAATTGTATCGCAATGCATTTCTAGTCAAACCAATCACAATTATTGATTTGTTTCGAAATCATGCAGCCCTAACACTTATTATAACCCTACAACAACAAATCAATAAAGTACATCTTATCTTTACATTAGAGATGATTAACTGTAACAAATGAATACATCTTTGAAGAGATTATCACTGGGACTCGTGCAGTGAGTGTAATCACGAGCTCCCTCTGGAAGAAGAGCAACGTTTTGGAGCTGCAGAAGGAGAGTTTAAAGGAGGTGACGGTGAGGGCCGTAACAGACACAGACAGCCATGGTGTGAACACAGAGGAGATAATAAGGGTCTTTCGCCCTCATACATCAGGACTAGGGTTTCAGATACACTGCAGTCTCAGTGACGGTAACAAGTGTTCCTGTTTCCACTCTGTACTAACATTTGGATTAAAGAATGAGGTTAAAGCAGATTTGTCTTTGGCTGCTTGGGAGAAGCAACATGTGCTGTAAACACAACATTGACATAAATCTCAGAATATATGAATTACTGATATGAGTTTAATAGAGCTGCAACAATTAGGTGATTAATACAAAAAACATTGTCTATTATTTTGAAAAAACTCATTTCAGCCTCCCAAATAGAGTATTTCCTGCTTTTCTCTATATTAAAATCATAGTTAAGTGAATATCTTTACATTTTGAACTGACAAAATACAATTATAAAGACAATACCTTGGACTTTGAAGAACTAGGATGGACATTTTCCTCTAACAACTATTTTGTTTTCAATGTTCTATATTACTTGACAATCTGTTTACAATATGATTTTTACAATTGTCTATTATTATACTGCTGCCTTTCAAAGTATTTGATTTTATAGTGAATTTGTTTTTTATACTTTTGCTGCTGGACTATGTCTTTCACTTATAATTGTTATGAAAATGACAATAATTAACTTGAGCTTTATTATCTAAAATCGTATTAACGCCCGCTCTGATAACCTTTCACCTTCATCCTTCCAATAAACCACTCTTATAATCTAACCCTCAGCGTGAAGGACTCGGAGCTGGAAGAACTTGAGAGACTGTTATAGTTGTCATGGTGACTGACCCATGACTTAAAGTAATTTTCTTCTCAGCCCTCCTGATTATTTTTAAACGGTGTGACCTATAGTCTGACCAAACCAGACATTTGAAGCGTAATGCAGAGCTGACAAACTGGGATGAATATTTATCCAACATGTCGACGTATTATAGATTTATCCGACAATTCTTTTTTTCAATGAATGGCTTAATTGATAAAGAATATTGATATTATTTTGGTTCGACAAAACAATGTGGACTCTGACAAACTATTTTTTACATTTTATTGACTAATTAGACAACTATTTTTTCAATGAATAGTTAATTGATGAAGAAATAATCAATGATAGTTGCATCCTAACATCTTTACTAGGAAATGATGGAAAAATGATGAGACCAGAGAAATAAAGTGTCGATAAAGTCATGCTGATTTTTAGCACTTATTTGTTTAGGAACATACTTAAATAAATCGAAGGAAACAGGATTTTGAACATATTGTATACATTCCAACTGAATGTGTTGCTGTACTGTCCAGATACTCTGACAGGATACTAAGTGTTATTTGCAAAGCTACGCTGAGGTTATTTCCAGCTCACAATAAATAGCTTAGTTTAAATCACAGACATGCACCACTGGTGTTAGCACTGAAGCAAACAGCCTCTCAGCAGGATAGCAGGGGGGTGGGGGGTGCAAGGTAACGAAGGCTAACGCTGCTGTGGGGGGGTCTGTACCTTGTGAGGCCAGCATGGCTCCGGCTGTCTCGTGGAAGTCCAGCAGCTGCTGCAGGAAGAGGATGGCCTGCAGGACAGAGGGCAGGGTGAGAGGGGCCCCCGCTTATTCATTACACTGAGGGCTGTTCACCGTTTCCATGGAGACCACCCGGATCCACGGAGACGGACAAAACAAGCCTCACGGAAAGGTGTTGAGTTTGAAGTGCAGAGAGAGCAAATAAATCCTGCCGTGTTACGCAACAGGAGTGAGTGAGAGTGAGCTTACATTGCTGGTCAGCTCGTGCACGGTTCCATCCTTGGGCATGTTGTACTCTTTATCCGGATCATTCTGAGGGTAAAAAGAGAGCAGACATTTACTGAATGAGTCATTGGTGACAGAGAATGGTGAAAAGTGACGAAGTAGTACATCAACTCAAGTAATGTAAAGAGGCCATATTAGGCTTTTTGGAGTGTTCCCTTTTGTTATTATTTTTTTGTGCATGTAAATGGTCTGCAAAGGGGGAAATCCCCCAACCTGCCTGAAATGCCTCCATTGGACTTGTTTGTTTACTTCCTTCAAATAGTGACATCACTCTGTAACATACACAAATGTAATTATGACGCACTATTATAGATTAAGATACAAGGTGGAGATACGTTTAATAAAAAGTAACGTATGTCCATCTTTACCTGATGCAGAATTGAAATGGTTTACCATGAATGGATATTTAATTAGAAACCAGTGATATAATATATACTATTCCTAAAGTGGCCATTCTATATAATGAGTGACTTTGAGTTTTGGTACTTTGAGTATATTGTGATGGAAATTAATTTGTACCTAAGTAACATTTTGAATGCGAGATTTGTACTTGACGTAATAGAATATTTCTACAATGTGGTAGTATTCCTTTTACTTAAAGGGGACCTATCATGCAAAATGCACTTTTGTACGTCTTTTATACATGAATATGTGTCCCGGGTGTGTCAGAAAACACAACCCTCTCTTTTCCTCCATACCCAAATCTCTAAAAACGGGGCTGCAACGGAGCTGATACAGATTTGAATTTTTATGACGTCAGAAAAGGGGTGCTCCGCCTATATGGGCAACTCTCCACCTATCAGGGGAATGGGGGGTTGGGCCACGGCCACGGCCATTGCCGCTCGAAAGCCCTGGAGACGCTGTAGTACATATGCCAGGCCTGTAAGTGGCGCTCTAGTCTGCCACAAAAGCAGCGAAGAAGACTTCTCACAGAATCAGCCCTTGCAAAAACAGGGCTGGAAAAGAGCAAATAGAGCGAAATGAGGCATGGCTAAAATGCATGATCTGTTTGGTATTTTGAAAAAAAAACTTCACAGACATGTTTTATATAGGTATGGCCCTACAATATATTATTCAAATATAGCATGATAGGTCCACTTTAAGTACTGGATCTGGGTACTGGGAGACCGATGTTAAAATATGAGCGTCTTGCCTTGATGCTGTCTGCGAACTCCTCCAGAGCTTTGGCTCCGATGGTTTCCATGGAGGTGATGAGAGTGGGCAGCTTGTTCTTGGTACTTGCTGCTGTTCCCTGCACACACAGTTACATTCAATTGAATTAAATCCACATATCCAGCATGTTTACTTATCATGCTGTGCAAATAATGAGACTCAAGTGATGAAGACCTGCAGCGTGGAGTCAAACTCAGCCTTGTTCATCTTCAGGTGTCTGAGGATGGGGAAGATGGTGAGCACGGCTGAGTAGTCGTGGCGCATGATGGCTCTGCGAGCTGCAGACACGATGTTGTCTCCCTCCAGCATCAGGTTGTCCAGCGCCTCCTGAGGACAGCAGAAGGAAAAAGGAAGCAGGTTGTTTATAGTAAAAACTGATGAGGTGCGGAGGCAGCTTCAGACGTAAATTATATTAACGTGAAAACAGGTACAGATCACAGTTTAATTACTATAAAAAGCTTCTGTTTCAAATCAAACATCAGGCAATTTAATGTGGCTGAGCCCAGGTTATTCACTTAACATCTCAACATGTTAATACTCATTAACATCTTCCTAAGCATCTCCTAAAGCAGTCAATCAGAGGGTTCCACATAGAGACAAGCAGTCCTTTCATACTTACATTTCTTTATGTATTTTTCAATATACTAACCCCCAACAAAACAGGGCTTTTGGCCATTATTTAAAAATGTTAACTCACAAACATTGCTTTCGATGACGATGTCAATGGCTCTGGCTTTTGGAAGCAAAACAAGCTCTCACACTTGGTTGTGACCCCTTTAGAGCTCACTAAAAACCTGCTGTTTTATTGATATCTTATGATGCTTCAAACATTTTTTACGTCAAGCAGCAATATTAACCTATCTTTGTTTACTTGTTAAGAGTCTATGAGATCAAATGATATGGTCAGGATCCCATAGAAATCTAGGAATTGAGTAAAACGCCTGAAAGTCATTTAAAATAATTGAAATACTACTTTAAATAAGTCACACTTAGGGGGAATAATCAGAAGGACTATTTAACAGTTAGAAATCCTGAGTATAAGCCTCAAACGTTTTAGTATATGACCTATACCTTACATTTGAATGAATGAATGAGTGTCACTGACCTGAATGAGAGAGTCGAAGGTCTTCTTCTGGTGGTGCTCGGGGATGATTTCTGCCAGCAGGGCGTACTCGCTCTGGGCCAGCTTGACGAAGGCACTGATGCAGTGGATGTAGGAGTCGATCTCTATGTCCAGAACATCGTCTTTTCCTGAGAGGTACACGACCAAAGATCCAGTAAACAAAAGATTTTTCTACAATACATGGTCTGTGGTGTTCTGGATGGTCATGAAAAGACAGTTACTGAGTTTGTGTTTGACCTGCAGGCTGTGACTCTACTTGTTTGGTAAAAGAAAATAAGATGTTTTATTAAAGCTGCAGTCGGTGATACATTTATATATCAACTATGGAAGCCTATTTATGCCATTAAAAGACAAAAAAAAGTCTTGTGGAAAAAAAAACAGATCCTGTATTTTATGATGATGAACTTTGTCAAATTGATTACTAAGTTACTTGAAAATATGACTTTCTGAGTTTCTCAAAATGATGACAAATGTTCTTACAATAATTGGCCTAATATTAAATGCCAATGACATAAACATTTAAATTACGACTTAGTATTTTTGAAATAATGACAAAGTATCTCAAAAAAATAATTAACATTTTGTAGTAATGACTAAGTATCTCAAATTAATGACTTAGTATGTAAGGGATAATGTGCAGCGAGGCGGTCATTATGGGGAAAAGAACACCCGACGGGCAGATCAGGATCCCGACGCGTAGCGGAGGGATCTTGATCAGCATGAACAAAGTTCTCAACAAAGTAACGACATGACTCCCAATATTAATTGAAATGCTTTTATGGATTTAGAAAATGTTTTTATTGATTTAAAAAATAGTTGTATGTATTGATTTAAATTGACATGCATCCGCTAAGAAAAATAGTCCGTTGTTACCGTTTGAAAAACGTAGCAACGGCAGGAAGGCGGAGCTTTTTGATTACAGATTTGAAAACATCGTTGCTTGCTTTAAAAGTAGCACAATTCATTATGTCAAACCTTGGAAAGTATCTAAATATCCCTGCCCTAATGCCAAAGTAACTGGCAACTGAATATGTTTTGCCGTTTGATGTCTATGTCTGGACCGCTGCGTAAAAAGGAGGGTTTCTGCCCCTTACTTCTCCGCTGTTTTCTTGTCGCTCTTGTCTTGTCAGTTCGAAACTGCCAACTGTATACAGTTAAATCAAAGTGTTGTGCAGATGTGAGCGTCCTTAACAACGGTCAATAAGTCCTAGACAGCGGTCTGTCTGTTCTGGATTAACAACGTGTCACGTGTTCTGAATTGACCAATCAGAATCGGGTATTCAACTAAGCCATGTAATAACTGTAGATAATGACTTAGTATTTAAAATAATGACTTAACATGTAGTAGTCATGATGACTAAGTATCTCAAATTAATGACATAGTATCTTAAAATAATGACTTATTTTAAAATGACTTGGTTTAACAAAATAATTATAGTATAGTATTGCAAAATATTATTATTTAATAATAATTGATATTATAATACATTTTAGATGCTAAACCTTATTAGAAAAAGTCTTCTCATTATGATGACATACAGGATCCTCTCTTTTTCATCACATTGGCGGAAATGGGCTTCCATACATCAGTTGTTTTGTTGGATGTGTTCCTTCTCTTTCCCACTGTTCCCCTCACTCACCTGCGGCGGCCCCGTGCTTCTCGGTCACGGCGTCAGAGAGGTGTTTGACCCGAGAGTCATGATCGTAACCTGGTGGGTGGGGTGGGGGGGCAGCAGGGACACAGGCCGAGTCAAACCTCAGAGGTCGTGACTAGGCCCATAGTGAAGGGGGGGGGGGGGCAAACCTGAACCTGGATCATCTGTACCGACCACCACCAAGCACCCAGCAGGGGGGGAGGGAAGCAGGGGACACCCTTTGAAGTCAAGTGTTGGGATGTGTGTGTGTGACTCATTAAGTCAGTGTGTGTTTCAGCTACATGAGAGCAACGAGCTTCAAGAGAAATGTCACAACAGCTTTTGATCCCTGCAGCTCTATGAGTTCTTTTTCATCCTTTCACACTTTGAAACTGTTAAATATCAGATAAGAAATAAAGCTTTTTTTTATTTTGGGGTACCAAAATAATACAATTTGGCCAATTTCCTATAAACCTGACTTGTCACTTCTAGTTTTCCCAGAATGCCATTCCCCAACCCCAGTTGGATATTTATATGTAGCAGAGGACACAAAACAAACAAAAGGCCCAAGAGCTCTGTACAGCACCTCTAGTGGCTCAAAACTCCACAGGTTGCCTTTAATATGACTTGAATAGTTCAATTGAAAAATGTTATATTGTCTCCTATGAAAAAAAAAACTTGGTTTCAAGTAAATTATTATATATTTAATTTTGTCGATATAGTACACTAGTTCTTTTTTTTTCCAATTGTTTCCCCCTTTTTGTGAGGTTATATTGTCATGTTGTATTGCTGTGGTCATGTGTAAAAAATCAGCAAAATATAACTGCCAGTTTTGACAATAATGCAATACCTTGTCATTTCTAAATAAAAAATTGGAAGATCTGCCACTTATGTGATTTTTTTGTTTTAAAGGTAGGGTAGGTAAGTTTGAGAAACCGGCTCGAGATCGCTAGAATTTGAAAATACACAACCGGAGAAAATCTGCCACTTCCTCACAGAGCCCCTCCTCCAACACACACGAACCCGCACATGACCAATGAGGGCACGAGATAAGTTTGTGCACAGATGGAAGGCTGACAGGCAGGTAGGCCATCCAGTTATTTTAGCCGGGCCGGCTAAAATGATTGGTCGTGCTTTTTACAGTATTACGGCTTCCACAGATGACATTTTTTTATGGATTTTTTGTCAAAGCACTTAAGATATTCATTGCTATCGGGATGTTAAGAGCATTCCATGGAATATAACAAAAAGTTTATCTCGAGCCGGTTTCTCAAACTTACCTACCCTACCTTTAAGTATTAAGGAACTCAATGTTTTCTAATGCACATTTAATGCAATTTCAATATTTGACGGTAATTCTTAATTTGTTCAAAAACAATTCACACCTACTGTTAAGATAACAGACATGTTGTAGTTGTGCTGTATGTTGCTGTGATGTCTACATTTAGCTAATAATCCATAGCAATTAGTCAAATACAAAACAGAGATTCAGAAATGATAGCTTTGCTAGTTATATATTATTGCTCATATCATTTTTAACAGTGAAAAGGGTTTTAGGGTGGATTTCAATGCTTTAAAACATTATATGTTTGGCTTCATACATTGATAGGAGACAAATACAACCATATTTAGCTTCCTTTTTTGAGGATTTATCAGATATTTGTATGCTTTTATGTAACATCTGCCTGATCTTAAAGCTGTTGTGACGGTTCTGAGGAGATGTATGTGTGCCTGTTGCTCTGAATGAGAAACATGGAGGCACAACATAACCAGTACACTGTGAGCGAGGAGGGAGAGAAGACACCGAAGAGAAGACAGAGGTGCGTTACCTTCCAAAGGAGTGAGGTTAGAGCCCCCCTTTTTCCCATCCAGCCCATGCTGTGAGTACTGTTTCAGAAGGTTCTGAGCCTTGCGAATGGTCCCTGGTCCCATAAACACAGAGATAGAGTCCAGAGGAGGAGGGGGGGGCAGCGAGGTCCAGACAGCCAAGAGGAAACAGAAGAAGGAAGAAGAAGAAGAAAAACGGAGAGCTAGGAAGTGAGTGATGAAACACAGAAACCACCACCGAGACAGGCAGCAGAGGTTTGTATGTGGAGGGGGGGGGGCACAGCCTAGCACCACAGCTACACAACAGGATGACCAGGTGAGACAACTACAGCTAGGTCATGAAAACACAGCTGGACACATGTGCTGCACACACAGTGCCCAGGGTCATGTAAGAGCAGAATACACAGGTTAGGTCAGGAGTACACAGCCATCACAATTAATACAATTAACAGTCATATACAGGATTAATATTACCATCACATTCTAGTTTAGACAGGCACAATCTACAGAACATTAATATTCTCAGGATTAAACAACAATATATTAGTTTGGTTAGTGAGATTGTTAGCATGTTGCACACTGAAAGCTGCATTCATTGATTTGAAAAGATTGGCTTTGTGGGAAGAAGAAATTCGCAAAAAGCTGAAAACTGGCTTATTTCCGCTGGTGTAATGGCTAGCGTTTAAGCAAACAGTTGTCTACATACACATGCAGCAAACACACAGCAATGTTATCATCTAATTGGAGTGTCCAACAAATTAATTAAAGTCCAATACTAACTAGGGATGGGAACGATTAATCGAATATTCGAAATTACTCAAGTATTGTAATTATTATTATTTATTTTTTATTTTTTTTGAGAATGAGTATTGAATAGCTGCATTCTGTGCATAGGCCCTGTTATAGGTTGTTGATCTCTGTTGTAATAGGGTTACGTTACCTAACCCGTTATGTTGTTCATGTATGATCCCTCTTTCATTTAAAAACCAAGTTATGTTTTAAGCATGAAAGCTGTAGGCCTATAGCTGTGAACTGTTCAAACTGTGATCACCAGTTCAATACATTTGACAAATTCGACTTGGTTTCTATACTTATTTGAACATGTATTTATTTATTTTTCAAAATTAAAAATATACTTTTTTTTTTGTAAATTTGTTCCCACATTTTTATTTTTTTTTATAGGATATGTACATTTCGGTTAATCGGTTAACCGTTTTTTTTGGGGGTCGAATATTCAAATATACATTTGCTTTCAAATTCCCATCCCTAACCAATTTTAGCTCCGGTTTGGTCTCCACCACGCGTCATTTCAGCACACTATACTGTTATCTAGCCATGTTTTTCCTTTGCAAACCTTCTAGATGTTATTTTAAAAAGATGGATCCAGTGGTTTGGATCTTTAAAAAGGTATTTATGTGATCTGACAGATGCCGACATGAAAAAATAATAATTGCCCAGGGTTTAACAAACGTTAAAATATGTTGTTATTGTCCAAGTGAAGACCGAACACAGTGTGACAATTTGTTCTATATCTATATATATATATATATATATATATATATATATATATATATATATATATATATATATATATATATATATATATTGTTGGTTATGTTCGAGGGATACTTTTTTGTATCGATCCAGTTGAATAGAAGACATCTAGGACACCATTCCCATTCTCATAAACATATAACCTGCAGCTGGATGATAGCTTTAACATTTGACTATGTGACTAGATAAAGAATTATTGGCTGAGATGCCATTGAAATCAAATCTCCATCTACTCCTAAGAACAAATCTGTCTCCATATCAGCTAAATGCTTTACTTTACTCAGCAAGTTAAAAGTGAACTGTGTCTGTCTGCAGTTTGATGGTAGCAGCAGGTAGCGTACTAGCTATATCAGAGCTTTTTTTAAATAAAAAACAGTTGGCTGTGAGACAGGAACATGCAGTAAAGGTTCTGTAGAACCAAAAGGAGCTAATAGAGTATCATCACTGTAAACGACATATTTTACATCACAGTCATCTGATCCATTTATAATAATACTAGTGATAAGTGAAGCTTTCAAGAGGGTTAGATTAGGTAAGAAAAATATGTCCAAACTCTTCACTGCCAGGACATTTCTCTTGACTATATCATTTTTCTTGTAATGGCGCTGTTATGTCACCGCACCGCATGTCCAAGCTGTTGGTGGAGCTCATTCAAATCTGAACTTTCAACAAAAGAATAAATTGAATTTAATAAATAAAAAAGGCTGTTTCATTATTTCAGTGCAGACGGAATTGGGCCTGAGGTTCAGCTGTGTAATTGCTATTTCTGATCAACACTACACACAGTTCTGTCACAGCACACACACTGAAAACTCTACAAGCTCTAATTTCATGGTGGCTAACTGCTGGAGATGCAGAGGCGGATGGGATGTTTTGTGTATGCCTATGAGCATACCAGTGTTTTCATTCTTTTAAATATATATCATTTATTGGGAACACGCTTGTATATGACACTTTATTTCAGGCACTACGAGTCAAAAGACTAACACATCGGCAACTCAAATTCTTTTAAATTTAGCAATAATATATTTATTAATAATAGTAATAAACCACCAAAAATATATATTGTAATATACATATTTTTACATCTTTATGCTTTTTGAATTGTTACTTACCCTAACCCTAACTTCTTATGTTTACATAAATATTTTTATTCTATTTTATTTGATCTTTTTATTTCACATTTTTTATTTAACTTCTTATGTTTATATTCATAAATGTATGCTATTTTGTTTTATATTATATTTTAACTGCTCATGTTTAAAAAAAATATTATTTAAAAATATCTTTATTGATTTTTTTGTTTTATTCTAAAGTAGAGCAACTGTCTGATTTGGATTCTTAAAGGACTTCAATTGTATACTCATAATATTATCAGTGACACTGAGGTAGTCTGCTATTTAAATTGTAATTTGTCTTTGTAAATGTTGTTCCTTATTATTAATTTATTAATTTAATTTTGTAATTAGTATAGGTTTGACTGTCTTTTTCAAAGTAGAGGCTTAACTCTTGAATATTTGGCTCTTTTCTTCTCCCTTCCACATACAAAAACACACCCCACATATGTGTGATATAATATAGACATACAGTCACGACAGCATGGGAGATACATTTACTTATTTTTAGCACGAGGGAGCACGTTTCTGTCACAGAGCTGCCAGTAAAATCTATTTCAAAGCTGGTTGAAAGTCATTATTTTTAATAAATTCCACTTTGTCAATCCCATAACGCTGCGGAGGTTTCCAGCAGTTCATTAACAACAGTAAAACTAGAGGACAACCAACTAAAACTACAACATACTACATGTCTCCAGAGAACTAATACACTTCTAACATCCTGCTTCTCACTGCTAAACAAACTCATGCTGCCTTTTATTTGCCGTGAGGTTTCACATTGGACGGACAGAAGCAAGCAGGAGGCACACTAAAGCTTTCTGTTTACCTGGGATGTAGACTGTCATCATAACATAGGGATTATAAAAGAGGAAAAGGATGAAGGATTAGTTGGAGATGACTGTAAAATCAAAAGGAAACACAGCGTGGAGTGCTAGTGAATAGGATCATTACAAAAGATGGTGGAGGATGCTTGAAACGGAATAATGTGGCTGGATGGTGATCTGATCAAACAATGGAGTGACGGTGCGGCTATAATGAAATAATCAACATTATGCAGAATCATGCTTGTTTGTTAGACTAATCTTGTAAGGAGAGGCTTGTAAATCAGAGTGTTGAGAGGAGTGCAGTGATCATGGGTGTCGTCTGCTGCTGACCTGGTCTCTTGGGGGCCTTTTTGGTGGGCGTGTCCTTGCGTTTGGTTTGGACGGCGGGCGAGTAGAGGATCCCAGAGTTGGCGCTGTTCTTGCGGAAGTGATCCTTCAGGCCTTTGATGGAGCGATCCAGCTGGTTGGACCTGATCTGGAAGTAGACGTTCATGAAATCTGCAAGAAAGAGAAGAAGAGTTTAAGAGTAAGGTCGAGGTTCATGGGGTAACTTCAGTAATTTTTGACAAAAAACTGGACATCATTTCCGAATGACTGATCAGAAAAAGAAGATTTTTGATATTGGTCCAGTATTGAGCAATAGCGCTGCAGCTTCTGTACAGTCCGTGGAAGTCTTGCTCAATACAGGACCAATGATGATGTCTCATTTTTGTGTCTAAGTGAGTCATGGAGACAACATTTTTTGACATTGGTCAAGAGAGCTCTGCAGCCATTAATGGGCTGAAATATAACCCTAAAAAGCTAACTGCGCAATGTCGGTCCACTAAAAGTGCTTGTTTTTGTCTGTTGTTACTATTATTAATGTCTGACAACATTAGGGAATTGAACCTACAAAATAATAAAACTGAATTGCTTTGCAAATAGCGCCCACAGCTGCCGCGCTCTCTGGTTCAATTTCAAAAATAGTTGTCGATTAGTTACTTGGACAAAATACATGGATACAAAAATGAGGTTTTTCTTTCAAATATGGAGCTTTATCTTTAAACGGCCATAAAGTTGGAGACGTCGATGAGTGTCTGTTGACCGTGTTTTTTGCAATGTGCTCCACAACACTTTTCACAACAAACAACTGATTATCTGTTCAGCTTGTTAAGATAAGATAAGATAAGATAAGATGGACCTTTATTAATACCCGTGGGGATTGTTGTCCTTAGTTTGATCTTTATTGCCCTTATTGTAAGTTGCTTTGGATAAAAGCGTCAACTAAATGCTATGTAATGTAAAAATTGAAATTCAATAGGGCACACATGGAGTCTATTTAAATTGTTCGTCTTCATCTCATCTGATCATTCTAAAACACAGATATTTTTACAAAGCCAGGGCCATCTGAAAAAAGGCTAAGAAGTGAGTTAAAGTGGTTGCCAAAACGGTATTTCCCTTAATACACGCACATAACTTACGTTGGCTGTAGTCTTTGCGGCGTGTTCAAGTAGGACTTTTTGGCTAAGCACAGGCATTGGGAGGCAACAAGTTCTTTTGACATTGGTTTTGTGTGTCGCTTTCACACCAAGTACTTTTCCCAGGAATAGTTCCCGGAAGTCTTTAGTTCCGGAACTATCTAGTAGATCGTGTTCACACCTGAGGGAGGATTACGTAAATGAAGCCGTTGACGTCACTTGTTCTTCTTCGGCTGCTTTGGGTTTACTGGCAGGCCGCAAACAACTTCACGGGCGTATACTGGGGGACTCGAGACTTCGAGTGGCAGTAAATCACGACCCGAAGTCCCGGGTAAATCGCCAGAAGTGCCGACACCTCCTCATCACTCCACCGCTCCCACGTTTTATTTTGTGTTGCCATAAGTTATTCTCTCTCCGTTGGTGCGCTGGGCTAATGCTAATGCTAATAATGCTAATGCGAGCAAATAAAATGGCGGCTTCACAAACATTTTCGGAGTTTTACGGGGCTTGGTTTGCAATTCGCCCAGCCAATCAGAAATTGGAACCTTTTCCTCCCCAGGAAAGTACCTGCTCTCTAGCAGGGACTGACAAGGGGTGAAAAGGTTCCCGAAAAAAAGTTCTAGTTCCTGATCTTTTTGGTGTGAACGCAAAATCCCAGGAACTATCGGAACTGTTGCTGGGAAAAGTACTCCGGTGTGAAAGCGCCTTAAGGCTAGTACACAGCGTAATTTCAGAATAGATGTTTTCTGGTTTTCCCACCTGAACACAACATCTCTCTCTGTGTGAGACATGGAATACAGGAAAACTAAAAGACAAAAGGAAGGAAAGCTAGAGTAGGAGCAGTATGGAGAGCCCAGCAGGAAACCCACCCTGGTTGCGTCCGTACTCCACCAGCCAGCCGGCGATGCAGATGATATCTTGGAGCACAGCTTCTGGCAGATGTTCCAGCACCACATCCTCCTGGACCTCCAGCTCCTCGTCCACACTGATGGCGTCCAGGATGAGGATGGGGGGAACGGGTTTACTGTAGCGGGTCAGGAGGCTGCGGAACTCCGCCTCCAGCAGCTCTTTGCCCTTCTCAAAGCGCGCTTTCTGCACAAAGGAAACATTTGTCAATTTCCTGGGAATTTGACTTTTGTTCTCTTACACATAAAAAACGTATAAACCTGCACTGCTTGTGATATGTATATCTGGCTGGTTATTTCAATGTAATTAAGGTCAGTTTTACATTTAAACAACAAATGGCATGATTTCTTTCTCATTTACACAGATTTTTCTGCATCCAGCACCTCATAGACTTTTGGAAGTAAGATATTGTAGAAATATATTTACAAGGCAAATCATGGCATTAATAATTGTAGTGACAATAATCAAAGATCACTGCTACAACGGAATAAAATGTGAGGAATGGGATGCAATTCATTCGTTTTAAAGCCACCAAGAAAGAAAAAAGAACGTGTGTCAAATATGAAGAAATACTTTGCCATTTTAGAATTACGCTTATTATCTTTCTTGCAAAGAGATAGAAATGAAGATTGATACCATCCTTATGTCATATTTGTATGTTAAATGTGAAGCTCGAGCCACTTAGCTTAGCTTAAAGGCTAGATGTAAGGAGAAAAATAGTGTCACTATCTGGTTTGTTTTACTTTATACGTATAAAAAAGTTAAATTATATCTAAATCTCAGCAATGAGGCATGTAATCGTTTACCAAAATGTACATACATATTCAAATAAAGCTGAATACTGTACCACTGTGTTGAGTTCGGGGCTGTCAGGGTTGTTATCCTGGAAATATTCCACAGCTTTCTGAATCTTTGCAATACAAGCAAGGTACTCATCCAGTCTGCCTGTCGGCCTGAAACAAAAGGATTAAGGATACGTCAGTTTTCTACATCTGCTCAAAATCCATCAACTCTGCCAAGAAATGGAAGTTGTTGTTGTTGTTGTTGTACCGATCAGGCAGAACAACCCACGATCCCCTCAGTCTCACCCCTCTCTGATGATCCTGTCTGTGTCTTTGGCCACGTGGTAGTAGCTGATGACGTGGTCCATGCAGGACAGAGTCTTGTCCACGTTCTCCTGCAGGCGCTGCAGGTTCTCTGTCTGCTTGTGCACCGGGATGATGGAGTTCTCCAGCTGCATCAGGCGGCTCTCGAACGACGACAGGATGGAGACCTGGAGAAACAAAATCATAATAAGTATTTATCCGCCGACAAGAAACAAGAACAAAGACCATAACATCCCATCTCTTCTTTTTTGTTTTTGGTGTTTGAAGCTGAGATCTGAAGAGCAGGAGGGTTTTTTAAATCGAAGCACTAGCTAGATTAAAATGGTTGTGCTTAGACTTGTCAAACCTGGAAAACAGACTATAAAGACTTGTTAAAACAAGATCATGAGCCTTGCTTTTAACTTTCATTTTTTTATTCTGTTATATCTTATTATTGGTTGGCATTGTTTTCTTATTTCTAAATGTTCACCCGTACCATTGTATTATTTTTGTTGTGTCTATTGTGCATATGAATATAAAGCCTTGGATCTCTTGAATGTTTTAATTTTTAAAACACTATATGTAGTCCTTTTACGACTGGACATGGAAACTATAATATCTTTTTTTTCCTTGTGCAGAAATCAAACTAAGTAAGGTGTTTACTGGAATAAGGTCAATCTTAGTGTGTGTGTGTGTGTGTGTGTGTGTGTGTGTGTGTGTGTGTGTGTGTGTGTGTGTGTGTGTGTGTGTGTGTGTGTGTGTGTTTGTTCATACCATGCCCTTGGTCAGCTGATCACTCTTCTCCAGGTTTTCTCGGATGAATGACAGCGTCTCTTGCTCCTGTAACATCATACAGAAAAACATTAACTTCACATTCTCACGCTGTCAGTGGGAGTTAGCATGTTATATGTACTAATAATTACAATGCATACAGCAGGTTAAATAAATATTCCACTAAAAGGCTCGTCTGTGATGCTTCCTTCCTCTCCAGCCATAACTGACCTGCTTCAGTTTCTCCTCTATTTCCCGCTTCCTGGCGGACGCATCCTCGGTAGGAATCATCCTGGAGGTAATGCCCATCACAGGACGGCCACCAGTGTATTTATAAAGATTAAAAGCTCGATTAAAGTCTTTAAAATGACAACAATGACGAGCAAAACGTACTGTTGTGGCTAGCTAACAGCAACGACGTCAAGCTAGACAGTTTTACGATTACAAGAGAGAGTTTTCCGGTTTGAGTTTCAAAGTAAAAGACACTGTTATTGAAATGTGTCAAGACGTTGTTTCAAATGGAAATTACTTACCATACTAAACTAAGAAATTGATAATAACCCTAAATGTAAGTTATATTTATAACCCACTATTAAAGAATTTTCAACAAACGTGACACTAAAATATGCAATTATTCGTCCAAACAAAGATATGTAGTTACTAAGTTACTTAATTTAAGTCAATTTTGCTTTTGCGTGTTAATCATGTTTACAAATGTACCGCTCAATAAAATGCATATTGGACTGTTTACTAGATGAAATGTGAATGGTCTTTATTTTGAAAATAACATCTTAGTTCCGGTCTACATGTACACTCAAGGCTTCTCTTCCGTGTCCGTCTCATCCTGGGAGTGTTTGGAACCAAAATGACGCCATTTAAGTTTTGGTTGATACAATAATGTAGTTAATAATTGATACATTAATCTGCATAGTATTTGTGAAATACTGTCAGGTCTTTTATACACACTCTATCGGTTAGCAACAACATAAAGCACTTTCATTCAATGACCTAAACAAACCTCTGGTAGTCGCTGTAGTACACTCAATGATCCACTGTTTTCCAATGGCAAATACTGATTATCTCAGTTTACTTTATTTTTATTTTCAAATTGTTCCCCTAAGCTTTTTCCTCAATCTGATTAAAGTGATAGATAATCACACATGGTTATCTTGATTGAAGACAAGGATTTAGTGATTTTAAAGTGGAATTGGGTATCGAAACCAGTCTTTTAGAAAATTATGTTTGAAATCAAAGAAAATGGTGGAATTAATCAAAAATTAAATGCAACAAAATCTCAGTCCTTGTTTGTATTAATTCATGTCATTTTTTCTTCATATGGTCTTATTTCACTTTGAGTTTACATAGTTAAATTCCCTGACTTTTAAAATAATTCCTTTTCACAAGTTGAGCAGTGAATAACAACTTTTATCAGAAATAAAAACAACCACGCTGTTCGGAAAAATGTTACAAATGTATTTGCACATAAGAAGGTGTTCCACATAGTTTCTTTAAATACATATTTACAAACTCCTGGAATACTTAACACTGTTACTTTACAAACTCGCCTGTTATACAAACAAAAATGTTTGTACAATACCTCCCAGAAACCACATTATTAGTTTTATAAAGATAAAATAAAGAAAACAAATAATTAAAACAAACTAAATAAGATACATCAGTGAGCTGAGAGACTACATGACACATCAAACTAGTCAGCTTAACATTTCAAGCCATTACGCCCTTTTTTTTTTTTTTACTCATGCACTTACGCTTAAGTATCAGTTAAAGTCAGCGAGGGTTTATTGCTGGTGTGCAACTGCCACACCTCTGTGGAAAACAAAGAAAACTCCATATGGGGACTGGTTGAGTCACACAGTACATTAGTAAGAAAAGAAACACGATTTTTATCAGTTCATATAGCAAAAAAGATGTCTTCCCACGGATCCACTTGGTAAAATAATTGATTTCCTAGCATTAAGAATAATGCAAACATGTTAAAATCGCAGAGCGGCACCCTACGATTCCTCTTCTTTAGACATCGCCTGTGGATGATAAACATGACACAAGTGAGAATTTTTAAAACAACAAATAATGTGACTTCACAGTATATTACTCAAAATGTAAGTCACCTGTTTGAGAAACTGTCGTCCAAAATAATTTGTAGCCATATTCTTTAGGCTGGTCTTGCCTCCCACTTTACACTTCACATAGCCATAGAGGTTGGCTCCTTGTAGCACCACTCCCATGATCACCACCGGCTGTGTGGAAGAGGACAGTCACAGTTTGATTTGACAGCACTAGCCAAAATGATATTTCTCTCATGATGAATAAATCCCACATTAAGACCAAAACCAACCATCATGAATCTGCTAACACGTTTTGTGTGTACCAAAGCCTGATATATCTGCTTCCTTTGTGCCATTGTTGTCAGAAAAACTGTCACATCAATGTGCCATGCTGTTGACTTCATTATCATAGAAATACACTGTAGTTTATTGTGACTTAATCACACATACACCACCCTGCTGCCACAAATAGTTTGCAGAGACCCAAATGTGGATTGGTTCGTCACTGAAAATAGTCCCCAACAAAAGCTGTTTTTTACATTTATTTTAAAGACTTGCAGACTGGCAGGCTCTAGGGAACCCACGCAAGGCAACAAAAACAATTTGTTTAGTGCCAAAAATATCTCCAAATATCCATTCCAGTGTTTTTATGAAATGGCCAAGTGTCTGTGGTTACTCTGTATTAACAGTAGGACATTTAAGTGTCTGTTATCTAAATTACTGATGTCAGTTATGAAATGAAGTCAAGATAGCCGTGTTGGTAGTCTACCAGTGACAAACTTGCTCTGTAGTGCTAAAATGCCAACTTTTGTTTGCTGTGCAACATCAGAGGTTGGTTAAAAAACAGATATGGGATGCTGTTTTGCCCTTATTGTTTCAGTTCAGCTTGCTGGAAGTGACGTCCTTTTAGTCCTGGAGTGTTTTGGGAAAAACATCTGATACATATTATAGATTGGAATTTGGTGTGGTGTAATTTTGTGAGCACATTGGGCTTTTTATGGAATTTGTTGAGATAAGAATAATACAAAACATATATTTATCTTTTAAAGTTGAGAACTTACCACCCATTTAAGCTTGAAGGAAAAGAGGGTGCTGAAAGCAAAGATGACCCAGAGGATGGGACAAACGATCAGACCAATCCAGAAGATTCGGGACTCAGAATCTGACGCTTGTTGCTTCACGGTCCCCTGAAGAAAAACAGGATATTCTCACAGTTAGGACATCTGCAAATACTCTAAAGATTGTTGAGAAGAAAACAAGTACATATATCAACTCCATAGAGTACAAGAGGTCAGTATCATGAGGGGTTAAAGTCCCAAGTGTGGGACAGAACCACTGCTTAAACACCAACACTGTGTCTCAATGTAGATACTCTTCTTAGTATGCTGTCATGTCGTACACTGTGAACACTTGTGCAGTGTCTGAATTTCGGCCATGTTGTTTGTTTCAAATCGCAAGCCACTGCTGTGACCTCAACTTAAGTGACCAATGCTGCTGTTAGCTAGATACCTAGCAACTAATATTGTTCATGGAAGCACATCCTTACAGAATGTTCAATTAACCCAATCAAATTAACAATGGCTCCTTTTCATCAGTAGTACATTAATATATGTATTCAAATATGAAATAATAAACACTTCTACACAATTGCGGCTGATCCCGCAACTTCCATTATGTACTGTAGTGAAAACGGTGGTTGTTGAGTGTGACAACTTACTGACCATTATAAGTGCCATATTTCGTATTGGGAAGCACGTATGCCCTCAAAATGGCACATGTAATTGGTCATATTGAGACACATCACAAAGCAACACATCTTACCTTCCTAGACTCAAACACCCAGTGGCTGCGTCCATCATCGTCCACCTGGTTCCACCACCTCAGACCCACCAGCAACCTCCCACTGATGTTCTGTTAATACACATTATATTTGTGGTCTTAAATTAACATCAGCATTATGAAAATATTTCCTGTTCTCGACTAAAGAGTACTAAATTGACTAAAACGTATTGTGTAAAGTGACAAGACACACCTTTACTGTCCAGAAGTCACATGAGAGCAGGAGGATTATTGTGACCATGCATGCGATGAATGTGCTGCTGAAAATCTCACAGAGCAGGTACACGATGACGGCGCTGACTCTGAAGAAGAGGTGGAAGAAGCAGGCCAGTGGATGCCTAAAAAAACGATTTTCAACACATTTAATGCAATGTTACAGTACGGCAGGGATGCAAGTTAATATTATTCTATTTATTTACGTGAATAAAATGAAAATTCTTGATGTTTGGTGCAACAAAATAAATTGAACAAAGTACAGAAAGTGTTTTTACAATATGGCATTAGTATTTTTACTCGAACATGTTTTCCACTACTGCTATCATATATGAAAACAATCTAATCCTTTCATTTGAGAAGTTGCAACTATCACATATTTGGTTTAAGTGATAAGCAAGCACTGAGATACAGTAATAGCAATCGGTCCTCTGTAAACTTACTTCATATTTGACTTCTTTGACCTTTTCCCTGCATCTTCCTCTGCGTCAAACAGAGACACGTCTTCATCATTATCCTGAGGGATCAATAAGGAAGAGGATAAACCCACAGAGACTCAGTACACAGACATATTTCAACTAAGGCTTCATCTTTGTTTCCATACACACTATTCATGGCTCATATGAACTTCGGAGGTAACTGCATGTTTATTTAAATCCAGAACATTACATTTAAGTTACTACAAGACTTCATAATCAGGAACAGGTGTTTACAATGGGATGAATACAATAAACGCATCAGGGTGAAATTAACACAGGCAAAGCTGAAGTCGAGAATATAATAGAACCAGAAAAATAACAATACAAATGTGTAAAATAAAATACTTGGCAAATAATTGTACGAGTTTATAAGTGTAATTTTGATTAAGAACAGTCAACTGCTCAAAGCTTATCCATACACCGAAGATATTCGCTTGCTAAAATAAAAATGGCTAATAAACAAACAACAAGTCAACGTCCGGTTTCCCAGTGTTGTCGTAGGTTTTAATGCTTCATGATTATAAGGACGGGACCATGTAGCTAACTTTAGCTAACGTAAGCTAAACTGGAAAATGTAAAGCTACTTGCTAAAGTTAGCTGGCTATTAGCTACTATGCTTGAACATATGTAAACAAGCAAGACATTTTATTACAAGTTAACGTAATCGTTTAGTGGTTTGGGAAAGGTAAAGCCAAGATAACGTTAGCTGTAGAAATGTAAATAGCTACAATAGCTAGCGTGCAAGCTAACTACTTAGCACTACAGATATTCCCCTCAGCTGGAGAATATTACGTGTTTACGATTTCATTAACTGTCATTGGTCCTACAAGATGAGGCTAAATTAGCTGAATGACATATTTTATTTAATAGATAAACGATGAACATTACAAATGTGTCACTTACTTCTCTTAGCATGATGAAATTTGCAGTAGCAGTCTCTCTTCCTGGTTACATGCTCAGTTGGATATCACGTCACTGTACAAGGTGGTCAGGTGACCCAAGCGTGCCACGTACATCGCTACGTAAAGACAGTAATGAAATACATTGAAATTGAGTGTTGACATTGTATGACTATAATATTTGATGCATCTTATTACTGATATATTCATAGTAGGCCTACTGTTTGTAATTAATTTGTAATTATGTAGGTTATGGTTACTACCTTTACATGTAGCCTATTTCTACTCACAGAATGTTATTGGATAATAATAAAATGCTTATATAAATAAGAATACACATAATAATAATACGCTTTATTTATAGACCACTTTTAAAACTAGAGATATAACTCAAATGTTCTCTACAAAACAATCGGCAAATGCAAATTAACAATAAAATTAGACAATAAAAAGACATTAGAATAAATATGAAGTGAATGTCAGTGTATTTAAAAACGGAACAGAAATAATGAGAGCTTGTGAAATATTACAAAACGACGAATCTTTAAAATATGTCAATCCCAAACTATTAGGTGCTTTAAAAAACTTTTAAAATATCCCTAAAGTTCATTCTAAAACATAGGAAAATGTTAAAATGGTTATTGGAAACTTTTATTATGCTCAATTAGACGTTTTAGAAATTTAGAGTGAACATCATGTTTCTACATTATTTTTTCATTATTTTTTCATACAGCACATCATAATGTGTAAGACTGCACTCTATTATCATACACCACTTGCACTTAAACAGGCAAACATTAAAACTTACCATATGTGATTATGACAACGACATCTCTCAGACTCTTTTTTGATTCAAGAGCCCAAATACTTCCCTCTACGTTGGTTTGTGTCACAGATTTTCCATTCATCGTTTGGAGAATTTACAAAGTAATCGATTATGGTTAAAATGATCCCAAAAATTATTTAATTTAGGATGTTATTTTAATGATGTGTGAAAGCTCAAGCTGTGAACAAAAACAGACACAAAAGAAAATGTAAGTAGCACTTTTTTATTTTCAAGGAGAAAAACATAGAACACCTCTGAATTCACAGTAAGACCAAAGTAACAGAAGTCCCCTACGAAGAGTAGTATAAATACGACTTGGGCCAAAAAAACATGATAAACATTCACAATTTATCCAAACAATAGGTTGCTGTAAACAGGTTTACCATGGGAAGACTGTCCATATTTTAGAGTTAAAATAAGTCTATTGTGGGATAAAACATTATTAAGTCTCACCAGGTTGAATGGTGACATAAATGATCCGGAAAGAACCGACTTCTTATCAATGCTATGCCGCTGTTTTTGGAACAATTGCTCCGTTTGCAGGTGAGGTTGGAGGAGAGGGGCTTTTGAGTCGTAATAGCTCCCCTGGTGCCACCAAGGCGACGATGTTCTCCTTCTTGGACAACCAGAAAGCCGGGTAAATAGGCTCAAGGAACTCTGCCTTGTACTTATGTATGAGCGTCATGGCGTCATCGACACCGTAGAAAGCCAGGAGGCCTCTTGAGTAGTCCACGTAAACCCCGATACGAGTAAACTTCTCCACATTGAGAGGGGTTTCCACGTCGCTGTGCCAGGCGGAGAAGGTGCGTCCGTTCCACTGTAGACACCAGGAGAAGTTGTTTCCCGTGATGCAGCTGTTGCTCTCGTTGCCCTTGCGGTCGATGCTCTTGTAGGTCAAACCCAAGTGCGTGCCCTCGCCGCTGATGTCCACCTCAAAGTAGTGCCGGCCCAGATAGAAGCTCTCCGTCGCCAGAACTTGGCGCCAGTTCTCGAACCTATCAGGTACGTCAGGGTAAGGGTGCTGCCAGGGTGTGGTGTTCGTCACCTTCCTGTTTTCTTCCGTCAGCCGCAGGAACTTGTGGGCGGTCTCCGCGTCAAAGCTCACGTTGGTGGAATCTGGGAGAGGATTGTATAAATGTTATATGTTGTAAGAGTTATGTAAGACTAGTCAGGAGTGTAAATACCACTGAGGTCCCAGAGGTCATACCCTATAAAGTGTTGCTTTTGTTTGTTTCCATTTTTATTTTCAGTCACAACTTTGGCTTGTGACTTTGTACAAAGAAACATGTCTTTGAGGCCCAAACAGGGAAGGGATTTCATATTCCAAAATATAAACATAACTGTGTGAATCATAACTTAGTTTTTCCTACATTTCTCTGCTATTAATCATCTCACGACCCTTTCACATTTATCTCGTGACCCTCCAGAGGGGCCTGACCCTAAGGTTGGGAACCACTGGACTAACTGTATACAAAGTAGTTGTTACTCCTTCTCTTAATAATGTCCTATTTTGCTGCAGAGCAAGAACCTATACTTTTGATAGGCTTGGCTGATAACACTATATATATATACTACTGTATTTAAACAACGTGTTACTTGTGATATAGTATTTATACATTGGTGTGCTTTTAAACATTGTTGTCTCGCTATTTTGTGCCTCTACTGTGACATGTTTACATGCTTTAATGTTTAAGGGAGTGTGTGGGAGAGAAACTCCCTCTGGAAGGAACTTTGGGATTTTAGCCTTTGCAGACCATTTACATGCACAAAAACCTATAACAAACTACAGGAAAGGGCTAACCCCCAACAAATATAATGTGTCCCCTTTAAACGCGAGTCATTCCAATGTTCTCGAAAATGTAATTCCGATCAAATTCAACGTGTTGCTTTTCTTAAATGGATTTAAGGGTAGCAGGATGTTAGGGAATGGGGACTCATTATCTCATATTTTCTAAATTCCTCACTCCAACAATGACTGCAGTTTCTCAGCCAGATGGCTCATATTCAATTACCGAAAAGACTTACACTTGAGGAAGTCGGTGTGTGTCACTGGATCCGGTATAGTCATGTTCTGTTTCGCTGCAACAATTTCATGAACTGTTGTCTTGATTCCCATTTTGTCTGCAATTAGAGAAAGTTCATTTCAGTTAGAACATAACTCAAGTTAGATTTATTAGCTTTGTCATCAGCTGGCACAAGAACGCATCACAGGGAAACTAGTATGAGCTGTCTGTCGGCTCTGTAAGTGACACACATAAATAGGTGTGCCTCGAAGCCCACAGGTGGTTGGAAAGCATATTTGTGCGATAACGCTATGACACACAGGCTGAAAATTCTTTACATGTGTGAACACGTCCTGACAGCGAAACAACTATCAGTACATTTATAATTAAGTCAAGGTTTTTGAGTTTCCCTACTGGTATCTTTTCTTCAAGTTTCTCCTACCGTTCTTGCAGGTCTCTTTCACTTTCTCTATGTATGAAGACACCAGCATGGCACACAGCTCGTGCGTGGACTCAACGATGACGCTGCTGAAGGAGGTCAGACGGTCCATCAGGCCGATGGAGACCCCAGGCAGAGAGTTATCAGTGGCCTCTTTCTTCCACTCCGAATACTCCTGTAAGACAAACACAGCAACATTCAGGTATAAGAAGATTTTAGCCTTTGGTTTCACTTTGTCCTTGTCTTGGCTTTGTTCCTTACCTGTAAGAAGTCCACATCATTTTTGTTCTTGGAGAGCTTCTCCACCTGCACCTGCGTCTTCTTCAGCTCCGTGCACCTCTGCTCCAGGTGGACCCGGATGCCGTCGGCCTGCCTCAGCGCCTGCTTCTCGTCGGCCTCCAGGATCTCCGTCACCTCCCGCTTCGCCCTCTCCATCACGGCCTGCAGCTCCTCGAACTGGGTCTCGATCACCGCCTTCACCTCTGTCACTGAACTCTGTGGGACAGTCAAGTCAAGTTAATTGATTTTATACTGAAACTCTGAAATGAGAGCAAACTACTTTTGTACATTTTTCTGTTATACTCTTTTTGTCCTGTATATAACTTATAATGTCTGTAACTCAACTAGATCTTTTCTATTTATCAGTTCTGACTTAAAGAGGACAATGTGCTTATTTTCAGGTCCATATTTTTATTGTGTGCCTCTAGTGGGACATGTCTCCATGCTTTAATGTTCAAAAAGCTCTTTATTTTTCCCATACTGCCTGTGCTACAGCACCTCTTTTCACCCTCTGTCTGAAACCAGAGCCCAGTCTGCTCTGATTGTGTGGCTGGCCGGCTCTGTTGTGATTGGTCAAAACCGCTTAGAGATGTCCCGCCCCTTAGCCTATCATGTACAATGTAGTTGTGAGGTCACTTTATTATGGAAGTAAACAAAGGAGTCCGATGGAGGCGTATCAGGCCTTTGCAGACCATGTACATGCACAAAAACCTATATAGCACTACAGGAAAGGGAAAACCCCCAAAAAGCATAATAGGGCCTCTTTAATTAAAGGTCCCATGTCATGGCCATTTCTACTGATCATAATTCCATTGTTGAGGTATACTAGAATAGATTTATATTGTGCAATTTTCCAAACTCACATTGGTTTCTCATACAGCATCTCTGTATAGTACAGTATGTATAACCCCAAACGCGGTGCACCTACAGTGTAAGCGCGCCACAGTTTTGCTGCTGCGAGAGTGTGTGTGTGTGAGGAGCTCCACGGATTGGTCCATTTGGACCAATGGGTCCATTTGGGTATGGTCACGTCACTGTACCCAGGAAGAAAAAGAGAAATCTCCAACGAGGCGTTCTGGGGCAGCATTGACAGGTCTTTTCTGTGTTAGAGTTTTACTCACTACAGGGTGTACTTTGAGGGTTTGTGACTCTGCAAACCGTTTACATGCATAGAAACCTTCATAACACGGGACGGGTAATAACCGGAAAAGCATGACATGGGACCTTTAACATTCTGTTTGTCTTGAGCCCAAATATTACTATTCTGTAATATAATTGTTTTTATTTATATTACTCACATTTCCTCACACTTCAACACAGTAGCAAATACTGTGTACAGTATGCCTCTTACATCCAAAGATCTAAACAGTAACTATAGAGGTCACATTGTGTGGACTGAGGATCATTTACATTCCCAGAGAGGGAGTGATGCATATCTACCGCTCAACAGGTAACAGGTAGGGAGTGCATGAAGTCACATGATAATCTTACATAACATGCTCAGTGAGGAAATGACATTGACGTTCCCTCCCACACCTCAGGGCAACTTCTCCTCTTGGGGCGGCTCTAACACCTCAGGGCTTACACGGGTGGCTTCTCAAGCCAAATATAACTGCTGAGTAATGAAGTATTGTGACATCCATGTGTCACACACACAGTGAGTCCGTTTCACATTACTCAGACGGTGTGTTTGTTTACCTCGATAGTCACTGTGTTGAGTTGGAGTTTGTTGATGGCGTTCTCTGCTGCGGACACGGTCTTCCCCATCTCCGTCTGCTTGTCCCTCAGTTCCTTCTGTGAACACGAGGAGAAGAAAGAATTCAGCATTTAGAGTCTTCACAGTAACCACAAACCATGCTGTCATGCTGAAAATATGTCAGATCCTGGCAGACGCAAACTGAATGTATTGATGTAATGATGTAAACATCGTATTCTGCACTGTGACATTCGTAGCTTTCAAAGCGTGGCCTTGTTTTATGATTCAAGTCTGAATTCCTCGGCAGGTCCAGACATCTCTGGAGCTGAAGCTGGTGAAAGAATTATTTCCAACCTTTCTGTCTAAAGGTTAGACCCTGAGGGGGAATCTACAAATCCCTTACTTGAGACGTAGTAATAGAGCATCAAGTCTATGTCTTTTCTAACTTACATTTTTTAAATGATTATAGACATCTGCTCCCCTACAGCTAAAACGTATTGTCTGAGGAATTTCATTTGGAGAGAGGTTCCAGACAGGGACTACTTCCTCTCTCAGTTCTGCTAGATTTGTTGTTAAGTGTGACATATGTAGGGCCAACAAGGACTAAAAAGACAACAGGAAATGCAAGTGCAGTGGTGAAAAACAGAAACATGTTAATACAGTTAAAGGTAGGTAAGAATGGAGAAACCAGCTCGAGTGCGCTAGAATTTGAAAGTCCACAACCGGAAAAAATCTGCCCCTTCCTTACAGAGCCCCTCCTCCAACACACACAAACGCGCACATGACCAATGAGGACACGAGATAAGTTTGTGCACAGATGGAAGGCTGACAGGCAGGTAGGCCATCCAATTATCTGCCGCGGGCCGGGGCAGATAACTGGACTTGCTTTTTACAGCGCCACGGCTTCCACAGATGAAATATTTGTATATATTTATTGTCAAAGTATTTAATGTATTCATTGCTATCGGGATGTTAAGAGCATTCCATGGAATATAACAAAAAGTGTTTCTGAAGTGAATTACCTACCCCACCTTTAATACAACTTTTATCAATTTATTTGCAGTTGATATTCTGATATTTAACCAATTTGGAAAAATAAATACCATAACTGACAGTATATCAACATTTTTGCTGTAATGTTTTTTGGATCTTGCTTGTATTTTGTGAAGAACTTTGTATCTATATATGTATGTCTATGAGATTAAAAACATGGCTTTGACATTCTATTCATCCATGTTAGATTAATTGATTCACCAAACTCAGGCCAAAGCATAAGCAAAGTTTCTGAACCACAATGAAGCTATTACTGTTACTGTCTTACTTCCTTTCCCAAAAAACACCAAGGAATGCTTAATTGTTGGTTAACTGGATAGGAAATACTGTCACAATTTGAGCAACAAACCGTTATTTGACCTACAGCGAAAGGAAACTTGTTTTAATCTAGACTCAGATGACAGATTCTAGAGGTCAATTATGATAACAAAAAACTCTAAATTCTTCAAATATTGCATATTAATCTTGACTAAAAACAGATGCTAACCGTTGACTCCAATGTGACGCTAACACACATGCTAACACACAAGATGCATCCACTGGTGTCTGGTTTCTCCCCCTGAAAACATTGCGGGAGTAGACAAGCGAAACGGAAGAGTGAGACATGTCATGAGTTCTATTAAAGGAAGAGTGTGAAAATGTGGAACATGACCCGAACAGGAAGTCATGTCACTCACACTATTGTCTTCAGGTTGTCATGTGGAAATACATATTTTTTGAAAGGGAAATGATTGAGTGCTTAAAACATGCAACTTGATGTCCTCTATTAGAATCTATTTGACTTCTTCTTTTCTATGTATAGACAGCGGAGGATTCTTTATGCAGCTCACAAACTTAACCTGTTAAGCCCCAAGCCTGTTTTTCAGGTTTCAGGCTCGAAAATGACATGCCCAAAACAAATGACTACAACTTAACTTCTAAAAGGGTTATATGAATAATTTCTTTTATCAAAGCAAGGTTACATCTGTGAGTTGGATGTAGAAGTGTCAGAATCAATATAGATTTTTCTCAGTCAGAGTAAATTCAGATGGAACATAGCAAAAAAAGGTAAATTCTTACCTCCGCCTAAAGAAAAAACATTACTTATAGTGAAAACCACCTTTGAATGATGGGATAGTAGACTAAAAGCTTTAGGAATCCAAACTATAACATATAATAAGTACCCTGTATCGAGATTGAAGCAAACAAGTTAAATTTGACCTTTTTAGAGAGGTTTAGCAAAAATAAGTTCCAGGCGGAATAAGCTTTCGGCACATTTGGGTACATCTGGTTCCATCAGTGCCATTTTACCTTTTTCAGGTACCAGACTATAAAAATGGTGTATTACATTGAATTATCACCATAGGTATTCATTCCATCATTTTTTTTCATTTGTGAAAAAAAAAAAGACTCGCCGACGGGGTCTTTGGGGCTTAACAGGTTAAAGTGTGTGAGAAGCATCCATGGTATTTGAACCGTCATTCTCAAACAGCTCCAGTGAGCCACCCATCACTGTTTGATGTACAGCTCTGATGAAGCACTTTGAGGTTGAGCAACAACACACACTGCAAATAACAGGTGTAAGCTAGAAGCTACAGCTCCCTGCAGGAATCTGGACTACAGTTGTTTAACCTGAGGGTCATGAGCTGTCAGAAAAAGAGACTGATGACTCTGGAACTTTGTTTCTGCGTCAGAGGGGCTAAATAGAATTTCCAGAGAACCAAATGATGTTGTTAATCACACAAAGCGAGCCTAGAATATGATGACCTTTACAGTGGATATTAAGTGAGAATTACTGTCCTAATTAGGTTTAAAGAGATTATAGATATCATTATTGGACATGTGAGAACAACTGTGGTGTATTTTGAGGATACATTCCCATCTACACTGGTGCTCATCAAATCCTCTCAATTAGACACATACCTCTTTTCTATTACATGAAAGCAGGACTTGGGATATCATTGAAAAGTAATTACACTTTTGGTTGATTTTATGGCTCAATAAAACATATTTTAGCCCTCATGTGTCTGCTCAAACTGTAATGGACTCAGCCTTTGCCACACAGTGAAAAATCGATAACAAATAAAAGCATTCATCGAGGTTTAAGATAACAAAACCGCACTCTAGACATGCTGTAATATGAGAATACGTTGTTTTGTTCAAATCTGCTGCACCCAACAAGGATTATAATCACCCATATATACAATGTCAACATTTTGTAAGGGAAGTCTTCAAATTCCCTGTTTAATACGAACAATGCTGAATATAGTCTGGATTGTTGGGTTAAAACAAGCAATATATATTGAATATATGATGACAGACAGAGAAAAGCAACCTGCAGCCAGTGAATATTTGAGAAATTGCTTGATAAGATAAGATAAGATCTTTAATTTGTCATTGTACAAGTACAACAAAATTACAATATGAACTCAAGGTGCCAACACGCAACAACAAGACAATATGAAAACAACAAGACAATATAAAAACAAGAAATGGAACTTAAATAGACATGATAGGGAATATGTACATAAATAAATAATACATTAAATTGCACAATTCCCCTCATATTGCACGGAAGACATGATTATTGCACGGAAGACATGATAACTTAAATATTAGCAGCGTTAAGTGCACATATGGCCCTGGTGATTTATGAACATTATGTACAAAATTAGAATTTTCCCTGATTTCTCTTTTTCTTTTGTCAAGTCAAAAACTGGACTCCTTGATCATTTGAGGTAACACAAATATTTCATAAGGAGAATTTCTGAATATAAATGAATTTATGACCTGTGATGAGTTTTTTTAAAGTTAGTTTATCAACTAATTACTCAAAAATATAGTTGTATCATACAAGGGACTTATTTCTTGATATATAGTATTGAGGAGTTCTAATTAAATACAAAAAAAGATTATTTTTGATAAAAGTATCACTCGCCTCTATCCGACTGCGAGCCTCCACCACAGGGATGGTGTTGTGGCCCTTGTGCTCCTCCGTCACACAGTCCTGACACACGCAGCAGGAGTCGGCGCAGCAGAACAGCTCCAGGGGCCACTTGTGGCTCTCGCAGGTCCGCCTCTCGATGTCCCTGAGCGGCTCCACCAGCCGGTGGTTCTGAAACTTGGGGTTCTCCAGGTGGGGCCGGAGGTGGGCCTCGCAGTAGGACACCAGGCAGGTGAGGCAGGACTTGAGGGCCCTGCAGGGGCTCTCGATACAGGAGTCACACACCACATCGTCGGGGCCCAGAGGTTCCTCCTTCACCTCCTCTTCTTTCACCTCTTCTTTCTCTCCATTTGTCTGTGGTGGCCCCTCTTTCTTCTCCTCCTCAGGCTTTTTAGGGTCTTCAGACTCCTTCAGGTCTTCTTGGATTTTGATCTCCCCCGTTGTTTTAGGGTCTTGCTCCTCTTTGCTCTTGATCTCCGGAGTTTCAGCCTCTGTTCCGTTCTGTTTGGGTTCAGGTTTAGGCTTGTCTGAGCTCTGCAGACACTTGGGACATCCTTTGTTTTTGTCCCCCAAACAGGAGCCACAAACAGAGTGAGGGCAGGCTGCTGTCAGTGCACCTGAGCAGACAGCACACTGCTGCTGGGAGACTGGAGCTGCTACAGCTGCTGTGTCTGCCATGTCTTCAGAGTCTCTGTCTGTCAGCCTTCTCTCTTCTGCTCTCTGGAGAGAACTGGCTCGGCCACTCTGTCAGCCGGCAGTTCCTGGATCAGTCTGAAGAGCCTGAAAGGCCACACCTAGAGGATGTGAGCGGGAGTCAAAACCCATAGTTTCAGTCTAAAAGCTCTCCGCCCCTACACATGCAACCAGTGATACAGCCAGAGACACACACACACACACACACACACACACACACACACACACACACACACACACACACACACACACACACACACACACACACACACACACACACACACACACACACACACACACACACACACACACACACACACGCCCTCCCCTTCCCCGAGGAAAAAGAAGCCACAGGGTGGAGCCCACACTGTAAATGAGGAACAGAGGTGTAGAGTTGCATTCCCCCACATGCATTGTGGTTGAACATGAAGCGAAACACACAAATCTCTTATCTTACCCTTACTGTTGTTTGTTTGTTCATGATGTATCATCGTGATTAGACTGAGCAGATCACTGCTGCAGCCTTTTGTCTGCCAGCCTGCTTCCTCTCTAACACCATGGGAGCATTTCTGTGCTCCAAAGTTCAAGTGGAAGTGAGAATGCAAATAGTGAGTGAATCAGCGGATCAGAGAGCAAACATCAGGGCAGCTGCTGCCATCCAGTGACCAGCCCGTCACAAGTGAGTTATTTGCTGAAGTGGGGATTTGGAAATGTGGAAACATGTGATTAATCACATGTGTGCTCAGCCAACCAGAGACAAGTCTTTTTTTCATTTTCTCTTTTTGCAAAGGTCTACAAAATATTTATATATTAAAGGGGACCTATCATGCAAAATGCACTTTTGTACGTCTTTTATACATGAATATGTGTCCCCGGTGTTCCAGGGAACTCACCAAGTGTCAGAAAACACAACCCTCTCTATTTTCCTCCATACCCAAATCTCTAAAAAAGGGGCTGCAACGGATCTGATAAAAACTGATCCAGATTTGAACACTGTCCTGACGTCAGGACGGTGGCGCTACGGCTATTGGGCCAACTCCACCAATCAGGAGGAGACCGCCACGGCCATTGCCGTTCGAAAACGCTGGAGACGCTGTAGTACATATGCCAGGCCTGTAGATGGTGCTGTTCTCATAGAATATGCCCTTGCAAAAACAGAGCTAAAAAATTGAGCAAAATGAGGCATGGCTAAAATGCATGATCTGTTTGGTATTTTGAAAAAAAAAAAGTATAAATATGCCTTATATAGGTATGGTCCTACACTATATTATTCAAATATATAGCATGATAGGTCCACTTTAAGGAAATTCACACATGAAACTAACAAAAGTTCCCAATAGTGGTAACTCAAAAAGAATGTAACTGGAGCAAGAAAGACAGTCTGCTTCTAAGGATACACATTCAAGAAAAATATATAAGAAGGGACATTTAGAAACATGTTGAAGTGTAAAACAAACATGTGTGGGAAATACCCTTGTCTAAATGTACCATCATTTATTCAACATCCACTTTTCCTTTTTTTATCCAACTTTTTTTCACATTTCTTTTATAATTATTATCTAATGCACCTTTTTTTTATATACATTTTCCTGTTGTCTTTATTTAAAGTGAACATAGAAATAATTACAGATCGGAAACTAATATGAACTTATTTTTTTCCCTCATACGTGTATGATAATTGACCCTTTAAAAATAATCGGTTCATTTTAAGTAAACATTTTTAAATATCTTTTAATGTCTTAAATACTTTTCCCTTTTGTTCAACTGCATTTTTTTACTTGGAATACCCAAAAAGAAGAAACCCTGTTTTTGGAACCTGAGGAAGACAACAAAAAAGGAAAAAAGGCTGCGGGAACATCCTGAATGTATCTTAGAAAAAGTACGTAAAGAAAAGTTATGTTCTTAAAATATACTTATTGTTTAAAAGAACATGGGTGTTTCTCAATGTCGAGGACGCTTCCTTGGTAGGACATGTCTTCTACAAAAAAATCGCTCCGTGCGCAAAGCATTGTGGGGAATTTAAGACCGCGGAGGATACACATGTGCAGCCTCGAAATTTCCCACAACCAAGGACGCCGGCCTCGGTAGAATTCCAAGGATCCTGGACATTGGAACAGTCCTTCGGCGGGATTCTATGACGTAGCATCCTTGAAATAGTGGCTCTGGAGGAGCCTTCCTCGACATTGAGAAACACCCCATGATTATCAATCAATGACAGATTTGTTTTAAAGTCCATAAAATTGACAAGAGAGTGAATATTATACTTACATTTTGCATCTCCTAATCAATCAGAGAGGTGGGGACTCGAGTCACATGACTTGACTCGAGTCGGACTCGAGTCGCATATTTTTGGACTTGAGACTTGCTTGACTAACATTGATAAAAGACTTGACTTGACTTTGACTTGGTATTCATGACTTGAGACTTGACTTAAGCTTGAGACAGATGACTTGAAAGGACTTGACTTTTTAAAATTAAATATTTGCGTTTGTTTTTGTATTGAGATATTACATTTAGTTTTTTCGAAACGTGATTGGGTGATTATAGCGCCGTGCGCGCAAACCTGGCAACCCACTAGACGGCAGGAGTGTCAGTTAACATGGCAGCGGCTAGCGTTACTCCAAAAATAGTCAAGTTTGGATTCAAGGATTATGTTGTCGATGGCGCTAATAAGAAGAGAACAGCGGTATGCAGGGTCTGCAGCATAAAGATCAGTGACACGACCACCACAACATCCAACTTCATTCGTCACTACAAAAAAACCCACAGAGAAAGGTGCGTGAATGTGTTGTGTTAGCTAGAAAGCTAACGTTAAAGTGGACCTATCATGCTATATTATAATAATATAGTGTAGGACCATACCTATATAAGGCATATTTATACTTGTTTTTTTTCAAAATACCAAACAGATCATGCATTTTAGCCATGCCTCATTTCGCTCAATTAGCACTTTTTTACCCCTGTTTTCGCAAGGGCTGATTCTGTGAGAATAGCACCACCTACAGGCCTGGCATATGTACTACAGCGTCTCCAGCGCTTTCGAACGCCAATGGCCGTGGCTGTCTCCTCCTGATTGGTGGAGTTGGCCCAATAGCTGTAGCGCCACTGTCCTGACGTCAGGAAAGTGTTCAAATCTCGATCAGTTTTTATCAGATCCGTTGCAGCCCCTTTTTTAGAGATTTGGGTATGGAGGAAAATAGAGAGGGTTGTGTTTTCTGACACTTGTGGCGCGTTTCCACTACAGCGCGGAGCACGGTTTAAGAGGGCTGTGACGTCAGCGGCCCGTTTTTGGTTGCGTTTCCACTTGGCCTAGTACCGGCTAGCGGGTCCTAATTCACAGTTTTTCTGGCCTCATAAAATCGTGGTTCTAGGGCCAGGGACAACCAGGCCGAGTGTGTGACGTCAACACTCTCGACTGCTGATTGGTCGGAGAGAATCGTCACAATCGGCGCGCGACATAATCCCTAGCGTCGCATATATATATAGCGAAGCTTGCAGCATTTTTGTTAACAGAGGAGCTACAACAATGGCAAAGAAAAGCACGCCATGGTCGGTCGAGGAAGTGACGACGTTCCTCCATTATATTGCAGATGATAAGGTCCAGCGGGAGCTCGACGGGACAACTCGCAATATCAAAGTCTTTCAGGAGGTCTCTACACAGACACTGGACTCTGCAACGGCGTTACTGGAGTACGTTTTTGCTAACGCTCTGTTATTTGCTTGAAAGCTTTGTGTCCCTATCTGTTCTAAAGCTCACTTCTAACAAATAAGTCTATTTTATCCTTACATTTATGTTTGACAACCCATGCTTTTATGGAGCCCCGAAGGCTAGCTAGCTAGCTAAGGCAGATAGCATTAGCTAGAGCTATTGTTTGCTAACACCATATATGCCATTGTTTACGTTCAGTTTGTCTTTTCTATAGTTGTTGTTGCTATTTATAGTATTGTGCTGCAGTAGTTTGTGGAATTTACAAGTCATGTTTCTGTTCTAGATGATTACATTGGGACTAGCGAGGAGGAACAGTTCCGAACAACGTCTTCTGCATCGACATCCTCCACATCAACAGCACAAACTGGTGCAATGCCATGCCTTTTTTATGCTGCTGCAAGAAAACACTTCCCAAATTGTGTTAAATAAAGTACTTCTTTGACTTATCTTATTGCTTGTTGATAAATAATTGCACCCAACAGCGATCACACAGAAAGATGGCATCATCTAGGCGTCCCTCTGCAGTCAGAAATATCATAAACACCATCATCGTCCACAAAGCACTGTACAGGGGTTTATGGATTTAAGAGAATACTTATCACAGTGAAACCTTTATCATCTGTTGCAATTAAAGCAAATAAGAGAATAAATACTTGGTTAAATAATACATTTTAAGTCTTTAGCAGGACAACTCTGCATACTGTTTGAAATTGAGTTTGCTAGCTTGAGGTCCTCTAAAACATAACATTACATATTTTGTAATGGTATTAAGAATACATGATAAATAAATACATGTCGTAAAAATTACTCAATTGTAATACCCTCGTTGTGCTAGACTCAAACACATTGCTTATATATTTAAAAGAGAAGAGAACAAAAGAAAACACCTATACAAAGAGAGCGGTGCACAGCGCTTAATATTTACTTGCACTATATTTCTGTTTATCTGGGTTATTGTGTTGCACTGTTGGAGGAGCCTGTGACCTAAGATTTTCATTGTCATAACTACACTGTAGCTATGTTCGTATGACAAAATAAAAAACCTTGAACCTTGAGGCTGTGTCTTTCAGACAAACCATCATAATCATATTATTTTATGCTGTGGATACTTTAGCCTCCATCCATGTTAACAATTTTTTACACTTGCATTTATGAATATAGTTCTGCTGTGTTTTACACTTTTGTATTTATGTTTATAGTTTGCTTTGATATTTGCTTAATTTATTAGATTATTATTATTATGGGGCAGTAAGTACTGGTGCTTGAAATTCAAATATTTACTAAATAGTCAGTTCTGATAACATTTTTTTGGTTTAAATAATTTGACAAACACATGTATGTGAAAAAGAAAAGATTTATTTATGTTCAATACAATACAATGAATATTTAGGTATTGCATTATACATTCTAGGTATTCAGGTAGCGCATCAGACCCTCTCGTATGTCCCTGCCCTCCTCTGCACCTTGTGCCACTGCTACCCCTGGTAGACGTAGGT